GAGACTAGATAATTTCCGAAAGTTCTTAGAGAAACACTAATAAAATGTAAATTGGAGAAGGACTTTTGTAATGTCGTAAAGGTCATGGGAAAAAATAACAATAAAGCTGGAGATCTTCTTGTTCTCTCTTGAGAAAAGATGTATAAGTGGATATTGTTCCAAGGCGGCAGGAGAGGTGTGATCTTCTAGGACTGGGGTGACAAGGGAAGGCAAGTGTTTCTGTTCCATAACTCACTCTCAGTCAGCAAAAAGCAATTTGGGCAGACACTCAGCTCGTTGGCACACTTGTTAATGTTAAAACAGTGAGTCTTCGATCTCTGCTTTCGTAAAAGGCAACTCACAGGTTGCACAGAAAGGAACTCCTTTTTAACGCCTGTCTGGGGGACTGGGGAATCCTGAGAAATTAACTACTTTACACAAAAGCTGGTGGGAGTCTGGAACAGGTCCCCCGGCCATGCTGTCAAAGAAACCAAAGGAAACAAGTGAGCTATAGGGACTGGGTGTCCTCCTCTCATCTGTGTACTTCCTGACCCTGTGGCTTGTGCTTTAGCTGTGGGTCTCCATATAGCCTTCCAATGAGATCTCTGATTCCTACTTTAACTGTCCTATTTAAAACACAGTAAGTAAGGTACCATTAGTACTGTTCACTTTGGCAAGAAGCATGAGCAACCGACTGAAAACAAGCAAATGGGGATGTGAAAACATAAGTGTACAAGCTCGTTTTATAGTTTTCCCTTGTTGCAACAAGCCAAGACAAGCCCGAGTAAAGCTGCAGAGCAACCGAAACAGGCAACATCCAAACCACTTCAATACACGAGGTACGCAGCTTAAGGTTTAAATTTCATCAGAAACAACAGCAATAAAAAAGAAATCATTTTTATTTGCCAGAAAGAGTTGCCCTGCTGGGAGGCCCTGTGTGTCAGAAGGAGAGAGAACGGCGCTACTGTCACTGTCCTGCTGCGGGGGCCTCAGAATGGACGAGCACAGCAGTGACATGCAACTGTTGCATGCGCGTGGCGGCAGACTAAAGTTCCAGCCTCCTTCCCTCTTTTCTTGCTAAGGCGTGTTTAGCCCTTCCAGGCGGGATACTGGGAGGGATGCGGCGGAGCGATGTTAAGGCGCACGGTGACAGCGCGATCTCGTTTTCCGTCAATCAGTCGATCACCCCGACTTCTGAGAGCGTGTTCTGGAAGGCTGCAGTCATGGCGCGTTTGAATGATAACACTCACCGCCGCTCCGTACGACACGAAACACGGAAGAAATCTGAATCAAGTCATGTGCACCTCGGACAACACCCCACGGTTCACTTCCTCAAACCATGCCTTTCATTCACAAATGCCTGGTTAGTATTCATTTCAAGAGCAGCTATCTGTTCCCATTTTTACTACAATCTGTGTTGGATTGCCATCCTCCCACCCAGAAGCATAGGGCCCAAGGTCCCATGTGGAACTGTATCTAGAAGGGGATATCAGTTGTCAATATTAATTAATATCCATATTTATGTTAGTCTATTGTCAATATTAATTACAGTTAGAGAAATACATAATTTTATAGTTTACTGACATAGCTTAGCATGATTGCTTATATCTAGTGATGTTTGGACGAAGTGATGGGATTGTAAAAATACTGTACTAGGGGGTTAAAACACAGTTAATGTGTGCCGAAACATTGACACTCACGGTACTAAATATACAAAGCATATTTTAAAATATCTTCACTATGTGCTAGAGTCGTACCTATAAAGTGTAAATTGGCGTCTGAGCAGGAGCAGGATGCATAATCTGCCATGTTATGCAGAATGGTTCAGAAATTTTAAAGCAGCACTTTTTCAGGTGAAAAACTGAAAAGGGTTTGGTTGTGGGTGACATCTATTGAGTTTTATCTCAATTTAGAAAAAGACTTGGGAAGGGTTTTTCAAAAACACTAGTCAGCCCCCTATGTTGATCGATGCAAGATCTGTCACAAATGTAAAGGTTTATCTGCCCCAGTATACCTGCCTGGTATGAAGCTGCGCCTCTGCCTAGTCTCTGAAGATGGGCAGATTCAAAATTGTGAAGAAAAACAGAATCCTTCTAAATTCAAATTCGACTCTAATCTGTGTGTAACATTTGTGTAGCAATCCACAATCCAGATTAGACTGCACAGCCCCTATACAGTATGTGTTTCTGATGTATCAGAAAATAAACTGTAGGGACCCTGCCACCACTATGCTGGCTGGAGACTCCACAGAGGAATACAAGAGAGCACTCTGCGTCTTCCTCATTCCTGTTTCTCCCACCCAAAAGCATTCGGTGTTCATGCCAGTATACATAACCTATTTGCCAGCAAATGTAATTCATTTCACTGCTGATTCTAAAATGCATTGTCCCTTTGGCTCTTACAGTTGAGTTCTTTCTGCTCATCCCCTCACTGCTCCTGCAAGTCATCCACTCAGTTATAATAGGTTGTGTTTTGCCTTAGGCCCCATTACACCCCAAATGGTCCATAATTATTGCCATTACACTTCAATAGAGAATAAATGTGGGTGCTTGCCAGATCTCATAGCTGGGAGCATACCTGGAGGAGACGGAGCCCTGTTGCACCAAGAGAAACCACTACCTTTCGGGAGGCTTGTCATACAGGAGGTGTATAGAAGTACATGGTGAATCTCTTTGTGCAGACGGAGCTTGTATAATACGATTATTTAACTATAAGAAACCACAACGTGCCTCAGTGCAAGTGGAAGAATGATTAAGGTTCCCGGATGTCCTGCTAGGGTAAGAAATTCCTGTGCCTTGCTGTCTATGCATGGTTTTCCATATATTTCCAATACAATAATCATCCATACACATTTCCTCTTTTAAATTTACATGACAGGAAAACATTGCGTAGTCATAAAACAGATTTAATCATTAAACTCTTGAGGTTTTGTAATATATTTTTAATATATAAAGTTCATTCGAACTGTACTTAAAAGAAGATAACCAAAAGGCACATAAGGTATGTCACAGCATAATGAAAGGCATTACTCAAAGAAAAGACATCATATTTCATGGCCATTTCAGTACATAGTTTGTATTTGTACTCCGTTGGGCCCCTGAGCAAGGCCCTTAACCCCAACTGTTCCAGGGGTGCTGTACAATGGCAGACCGTGTGCTCTGACCCCAAGTGTCTCTCCCTGTCTGTGTGTCTGTGTGTCTCATGGAGAGCAAGCTGGGGTATGCGAAAAGACAAATTGCTAATGCAAGAAATTGTAAAGGGTTAATAAAGTGATGTTAGTTCAGAAACGTCAGGTATCACTTGTAACCAACACTTTTCCTGGACTTGTTTTTGAAGCTGATGTGTCATATGGAGGAAAGCTAAAATACATCACAATCACGATCGTGTGAACTCATTTAAGGAATATTGTTTTCAGTGAAGGTGAAAAAGAACTGAAGTGTGGGGACCAGATAAATGACACATTTACTTAACGGCAACGGAGAAAGGAAAAGCTTGTCAGAATTCAAAATCCCAAACACGTCTTGCAACAAGTTTCAACACCAACGTTCCTCGAGGTGTCCAGAACCAGCATAATTACATACCAAGCTCTGTAAGGGATGAATATCAAGTGGGGCCTGACTGAGCTGCAGGGGGGAAAAAAATGCTACAGGCTTTCTTCAGGCCTCTCTTCACACATCTTTTTCAAACTGGGGCCCTCGTTCGGCCGGTTTCATGCTTGGGGTGGCATGATCGCTGCCCGGGGCACAGACAGGGACTCCTGAACAGTTTCTCACACAAGTCAGTGCAATACCAGCCTCTCCCCACGACTGGATGAATCCCTGTCTTGTGCCTCCATACGTCGGGGCTGTTTGTCTTTGCTCATTAGAAAAAGAACTGCTGATTGATAAAAGGGATGTTGCATGAGATTGTTACGACTGCATAAAGGAAGAGAAGAATGAAATTATGATTCCTACTGCATCCTGAAACTAACCCAAGTAATATCTTAATAGCTGCAACAAAGTTGTGGAATGATCCAGCCCTTATCAGGTCCTGACGAGTCAATCAACACTTTTAAATCCTGCCTTTAAATTATTATTGCACTCCATCTGTAGGATCTTGAAAGGTGCTATAGAAAATAAAATCGATGATTCTTACTGGAGTACCCGTTACATAAAGAAGGTTTCAGTATGTCAAACTTTCTTCTCCCTGTGAAGTTTTGAGTGGACTTCACTTGCGTGCACACCAATGTCCTCTCTAATTTTTCATGCCCTGTGCGTGCCAAAATTTCAAGTTTTTTAACTAGTGCCAAAAACTTGTGTGCACTACATTGAGTGTATGTAAAATGGTAAACCTGAAATTATTTTTTGTTAATATAGTCATTCTCATAGAATCCAAAAGACTGGGACAGCGATTCAATAAGCCCAGTCATAGAGACTGAGTGTCGAGTGAGCATGAGCAGGGAGGTACGAGACTACGAGAGCACAGATATCGATGATCGAGTAGCAGTAATAAAGCACACAGCCAAGGTGGGCCTTTCGCAGCCCGTCTCATGTGGTCAATTTTGCATTTTTGATTGACAACCATGTTTGTTTTATTATGATCATTTTTGGGGGAATTTTATTTTTTGTGCGCAGTTCAATTTCCTATGTGGGTTGATTTCATAACCCGTGTGCGCGCGCGCACACACATGCGCACAGCTTAGAGGGAACATTGGTGCTCACTGCTCATGTCGTTGTTTTACTGCTATTTATCTCCACTACAAGTCTCCCAATCTCGCTACAAGCAAACCAAATCGAGCAGAAATAAAAGACTTAAGTATCATTTGTGTGTGTTTATTAGAAAATGAAGAGGGACTTACTTTCCAACCTCGTCTATAACTGGCGCTGGACAGAGTAAATATGTATCCGTTATATCCGCGGGCTTCTCATCTGCAAAAAACAGAATGTTGATTTTTCTTCTGTTCTGAGAATTTTTTTTCTCCCAGATACAACATTTATACAAATCGTAATATTTTGCATATAAGCACAAAGAAACTGTATTACCGTGCCTTTGGCTAAAAATATTTGATAAACATTTATAAAGCAGTTTTTAAAGAAACAGAGATATTAACGAACTTTTACAATGTAGCTGTTGTGCTGTTTATCCACAATGACATTTAAGTAACATTGCAGTTGCATTCTGGAATTATTTTTCTTTCGAAAAAATAAAAAACCAAAATAGAAAAAAATACAAAAAACAACTGAAGGAACCACTCACTTATGGTGATGGTGTCATTGATTTTAAAGCTGCACAAGACTTGTTCAGTGTTCCTGGCGTGTAAAAACCCATTCCCTCGCACAACGACTTGAAAGGACTCTAGGAAGGAAGGACGTAAAATGTCAGTTTGGAATTCTGTAAAGGAAAACAATTAGTAAAGCATTCTACGCCCAACATTTACAAAAGTAAAAATAAATAAATGTATTTGATCCCTAGTTCAATGACTTTCACATACTGTAGATGTTATTGTGGCTACAAGAAAGTACAAGAAATACATCATACAACAGTCTCTTTAAGTGAGCTTATAAATTAAAAGCCCTTCTGAGTATCATGGATTTTCAACAATTACAAAAACATATAATATAAAAATGAAATACCTATTACATTTTGCAAATGTATTTAGGAATATTTAACTTAAAATCTGTAACACAAATGGTTCATCAAATTTTGAGAGGAGGTCAAATTGTAATATTAAACTTCTGTTCTACTGTGTAGAAATGTTTCTGCCCATGACTCCATGCATCCTTCCTCCACCCTGCCTCCACCCCATCTTCACCCTTGCAGCAGCTCCCTGGCTCATTCCTCATAAGTCAGGGGGGTTGTGACAGCACCGATCTTCAGCCACCTCTGTCATTTCCTCAGCCTTGCAACTTCATGTCAAACATCAAAGCATACAGCACGCTACCCTTCATATTCCTCCGCTTTTGTCGTAAATAGAATTTGACCAAACCACTTAAAAGGAAACTGACATAGCCACATGATACGTGATATACTCTCTGAAAGGAGTGTGTCCTGTCTGCCTACGTTTATTACTCAGGTTATGCAGCAGGAGTTGTTTTGCACATTGTCTTCTCCTGCGGGGCTTTAAAAAGGCCAAGCACAGGGCAGGCAGCAAGTGTGTAGGATCTTTATCATCTCACATTATCGGTTGCATCCTTACATTAACATTTAATACAATACCAGTGAAAAAAAGCCAAATATCATTCACTGGTGCTACTAATCAAGTGCTGCTGTGCAGGAAAACCTCGCACTCCTGTAGCCAAAGGAGTTTCCTCCCGCAGCCTAGGATCTGTGACCTTTCCCTCCCCGCGGGCAGCGCTCTGTGACACACAGGCCGGAAAACAGCATATGTCACAGACGCAGAAAAAAAGGAAACAACTTCCAAGCCTGTCTAAAAGCGGAAAAGTCCTTTAGGAAAAAAAAAACAAAAAAAGGAAAAGACTTCCCCGCTGCAGGAACCAAACCGCTTTTTCCGTTACACTTGTGTGATGTCTACGGTGGTAAACAAGGGTGAACAGTCCAGCATCTAAAAATGTAGATAACAGCGTGAAGTTCACTGAATAAAAGCGTATCGCACACATTGTGCCATCAGGACATCTCTAAAGGTCACTGATATTGTTTTTTTTCACTTGAAGATTCTCTGACAATTCTCCCTGTGTGCTCCAGAATACACAATCGTTCACACACACTAGATGTGCTTGCTCGGTTAATTAAGAAGACCCTCAAAATGTGTCAGCGCAAGTGGTACAGTACTCTGATTCATATACAGAGTAATACATCCTCACATTATTTGAAATCTGTTTTATTAACGTAACTGAAAACACTTCAGACTTCTGCAAGTATTTCAACACATAATTGTAAAAATATTTAGAATCCTCCTGCTCCAGTTTCTCTCATAATATCCCACATCAAATCCACAGCTCTAACACGTATGCAACAAACGCTATGTATGCTGTCGATTCCTTTATGGTAAAAACATAGACTTTTGGAGTGGGGGCTCTGACGTATAACAGACACACACAAAAAAATCAAATCCAAATGTCGGTTCTGGTCAAAACCGCAGAGCGGGTTTCCGGAGTCGTGACAATGTCAGCGCGTCACGGCCTGACCCACTGGCAGCGCGACCGGCACCTCTTCCCCTGCCCTGACAGCAGCCCGCCCGGCCTCCGCGCTCCGCTAATGCAAATGACTCCCTGGACCCAATGCCCCCGCTTGGGTCTCCCCTTTTCTCCTCGGCGCCGCGCCGCACCCCACGTGACGCGATGGCCCTGTGTTCAAATGGCTAATTCTATTTAATTTCGGGCCCCGGCCGTGACCGCGTCCTTTTCTTTCTTCGTTACTGTCACATTATACATTGTCAATTTTGACAAGATAGCGAAGGGAAAAAGGTCAGCGCTGCTGATAACTGGGCAGCGCTGGCAGCGAGATGGTGGGCTGGGGCTGGTGCGCGCTGGCTGCGCTGTCGGCTTGGCTTCCCCGGCTCCGATGAGGAGCTGACTGCTTGCATCCACACCTGGGAGCTGACGTTGCCGGTAGGATGCTCCATCCAGCAGAACCTTTCAATCACGTCTGGGGACCACGAGCGTAATCAAAGCAATGATGCTGTCAAGTTCTATAGCGGCCACCTTCAGCTCCGAACTGATGGCCTGTTTACAGGCTGCATGTCCCGGTCGCTTCACATCAGCGTGATTGTAAAGATAGCAGCGCTCCCTGCCACATCGGGAGAAGGAGGGAGCTCTTAAAGAGATGGGGGCAAGCGCACTGTCATGGACTCCTCCAGCTTCCGTCTCGGCATCTCGCTAGACATCCTTACGCTGTCAGGCTCGCTAATTAGCTGCAGAAGGCTGATAAAAAAATCATTTGTGGAAGCAGCTAGAGGTACCACACTGATAACGAAAGAAACAATGTTGTTTTTTTTTGCATTCTACTATTATTATTTTCCAGTTAATAATTCTGTTTTTTTATTATATGTGATATTCAGTTGCACCGCGGCGAATCCAGATCAAAAACCTTTTCGCCCGAGCCTTAGTTGCTAATTACTGCTCGGCATCTTTCGAGATAAACATCACGAACTAATGAATACATTTGGAATCGCCTTCGAAACATGTTATGATTTAAACGCCTTAGCCAAGTGCTCTTTATTTATATACAACAAATGTAATGTATTATACTGTATATATATACACAACACATCCAATATACACTTTTTTGTATATTAAAGAAAAAGTCAGGTGCGTATTGATTATCGAAGCCTACTAATCCCGAATTCAATATCTGAAGCACGACCCTGCACTTTGATTTGTATGCCTGTAAAGCATTCACCGCTAGATCTTCCCTGCTCGGCTCTGTCATTAAAATGTCTTCATCGCTGAGTGGCGTTCACACTCCAGCGCCGCTGCAGAGAGCTCCTCTCCCTTGCTCACCCCCAACGAATCTGGAGTGACACGGCCTTTTCTGTGCGCTCGCCAGGAACACGCTCATCGTATCGTTTCGACAGGCAAGAGAGCACGGCCAGCCTCTCATTTTCCATACATGGTCGATTTGTATTTTTCTTAAATTCCAGGGAGCGCCTTGCTCCCCACTGTCTGTTTACGCGTAAATTAGCACTGACTCAACGCAGGCTAGACTACAACTGGAAACCGCACTGCTGTCAGTCCGCACGATACCCCTGTCTGGGCTCTTACCTCCGGCGCACACGCTTGATGGCTCAGCTGCTAAAATCTCAATGCAGGACTTCCTGAGGATCTAGGACACAGCACCAAGGGAAACGGTTAGCGATCGGGATTAGAAACAAAAAAGACAAAGTACTTATTTCGCTCATAAAACAAAATCACTTCATTTACCGAATCAATCATGCCTCTGAGAGCCTGGAATCCTCCTATCACTGGAAACACGTGTTCTATGGTATCAGCAATGGTGGCCAACTACAAAAGGACAAACAGCATTACAGTGGTCATTTACTCACATCGTTCACTGAGCTCCAGTTCTCGACAGATTACATAAATCACTTATACCTTCCTCTTACGTTGAAAGTAACTGCTTTGCAAGAGTGATTGCAAAACTATGCAACGACATAAAGGGCTGAAATTCACTTCAATTGTACAAACAACGAACACATTCCCCAAAAACAGGGGACACAAATCATTTCAAGCTCATCCAGGAGGGCAAAAGGAACATGCACGGTCCTTTCATAGCTTTGTAGTTTATTCTAAATGTTGTCACTGGGGTTTTGTCTTTTGGAAAAGAGAGGGCTTGGATAAAGGTTTTGCATAATCAGCTGGATAAATCTGGGACATTGTAAGATTGGGCAAAGTAGTTTTAACTCACAGGGCCCGGTTTACCTGTGTCTCATTGAAATCCTTCACTCCAACGCAATAGACAATGGCTCCAAAGGATCGAGCTCTTTCAGCCTGCGTTTGGATTGGTAAAAACAATATTTACATAACGATCAATGCAAATCCTGTTAATATTGTTCTATATTAATGCGTGACGGCACTGTTCACTTACCTCTTGCTGTGCATGGTAGAATTGCTGTTCATTAAGTTCTCCATCCGTCAATGCAATTATAACACTAGCTGTCCCTTCAATGCAGAAACCAAACAAAAATGCTTTAGAATCGTTGACTATGTTGCCAGCTATAGGCAGTGAATAGTTTCAAATGAGACCTACCATAATTTTCGTGGTAAATTTGTTCATTTGCCTGCAAGTGTAAAATAAGACAATGTTACTGAAACAGCAAATTGAAAAAAAATCAACATTTATATACAGTAAAAAAGAAGTAGGGGCTTTATGGAGTGAAGGCTGTACCCTTTCCAGTCCTAAATGCATAAACGTGTCTCCTCCAGGTATCTCTCTCCTGAGAGCATTAAGGCCTTTCCTTATTTCATCCCTGGAGGAGCAAAAGAAAAAAGGTATAAAGAAACATTTTCAACAAACTCATCATCATGTAGCTTCATGGCTGGAACGCCTCAATTTTCAATGCAGTGCAGGCAGCACACAAACAGGAACAGGGTGGTATTTTTGAGGCTTTTAAGGCTGAAGTGTTTAAGTGGATCCCAGACCTCGCCACGCCTGGGTAGGTGGGTGACTGAACCAGGATTTGGAGCTCCTGCTGGCTGGCCCACATACAGGACCGCAGGGGTTTGTGAAGGGAACAGCAAATTAAATATTTATTGACAGGTCTAGCGAACTCCACCACAAGCACAGGACACAGACACTGCTGCAGCTGCTGCAAGGACATTTTCACTGTTTCCTTCGTCTTAAATCTCCCCATCTGGACCTGATCGAAATCTTTCAGGAGATTCATTTAAAAATCAAACTCAAATGTTTACAACAGGAGACGTTAACAGTTTGAAAGCGAAGCTTCACCTGTTTTCGGTCAGCTTCATGATTGTCGTCCCACGGGTTGAGAACACGATGAAGGACATCCTCAGCATGGGACTGGAAGGAGCGTTGGAGAGATAATCGATCAGTTTTTGGTTAAATTACATCAAAACCACGTGCCTGTGTTGAAATGATACAAACATTTCTGGGCAATGGAAGATAAACTACAGCAGGGAAAACGAATTTAAGAAAATACAGATGGTGAATATTCAAGAAGACAGGAAAATTTGTTTTTTTTCCACTGTTAATTCACCAGTCCTTCGTGAGAAATATGGCAGACTCTGATTTTGTCCGAAGCCCTCTGATTTTTATCGAGTGAACCCAGAGACCGCAGTTCAACAATCTTTAAGTCTAAATCTAAAATGTTAATGTATCTCACCTAATGAACTTCTCTGCCAAATGTTCAACAAAGGAGTATATCTCAATCCAGTGGTTTTTGACACTTCCAGATCTGTAAAAAAAACACACCGATACAGTTACAATACTTTGTAACATCGAGCTCACTGTTTCTTACACACTACGAAGAGATTATTGTATCCTAATATGAAGCACTGAAACCAATTTTATGTTCTACCAGAACAAATAAGGACTTCAGTCAGGAACAATAACGATCTGCTATTCCACCCAATCTGCCATCACCTCTCCGGTTTCTGTATGGTGTGTCAAGCTCTGAAGCTGCAGCTCCACCCCTCCGATTAATTGGGCTCAGTAATTAATTGCAGACCCACGAGCGCTCGGAATGTAGGCTAATTGCTTTTATAGGAGACGTATGCGTCTCATCCTGCAGTGACACAAGACCATGCCTCCTCAGAAACTGGAGGCCTGCCGGCGAACAGATGGTCGGGGGTTGAATTCACAGTTTGGGAAAGGCTATAAATAAACAGGATTTGTTCAGCTTCTAAGAGCTGAAATGTGCCTTTCTGGAGAGAAGAAGGTCGAAAATGGATTAAATTTTCATGACGGAACGGCTTAATTGATGACTCGGCTAACTTCCCACGTGAAAAAAAAAAGCAGGAAGTCTACGCTATGTGCCGGACGTTGTTCCGCAGCATTTCATCTCAGGAGACCTGGAAGCATCCCATCGGGGCAGGCAGACAGGCAGGAAATGAGCTGAGGAACCTTTTTTGCACTGGGCAGGTCTTTTAACCCTGACGTGACCAACGTGAGGAAAGGTCACTGGACATTGCTGATTCCCTGGTGCTCCAGGAGCAGACGCCTGTGACCTGGAGTCTCATTCCTACACACACACCGACTCGCACTTTTTTTTTGTAAGAACAATCAAAAAAATACCCTAATAAACAATGAACGGTGCTATTAAACTGAAGCGATTCAAACCGAAAACCGACAAACGCTGTTTAAGACGTAACCGCACTGTCCTCCAGATTGATATAAAAGGTTTGAATAGGAAAGCTTTAATTATGCCATTACAGCTTGGATTGTTTTGAACAAGCTCAAGCATTTAAGCATTTAGATTATACCCTTGCTCTTTATTTAACACAACTTAGGCTTCTGCAGCTTGTCCACACTGGCTCTCCTGAATGAGCAACTCATTCAGTGCACCACGGCCTGTGCTGGTTGAGCTGCAGACTTCGGACAACCTGCCAGGGGTTCTCTTTTTTAACTGGTCTTACACTCTTAGAAATGGTTACTGTACCTGCTCCCGCTACAGGGAAACTCAGGAACAACTCAGAGCTTTTAGTTGGTTAACATCGTATTTTCATAAACATTATACAGGATCAACAAATTCTTTTAAAGTAATCAATATTTACAAAGCAGCTTTATAGTAAAACCTAAACTGCACGACACAACAAAGGTATTAACTCACAGCAAACCAGTCTGCTCCACATGACAGCAGAAAAGATGATGACATTTACATTTGGCTGATATTGATGCAACAGAAAGCACCAACACAGAACTCAGTTGTGTTTTGCTTCCAGTTAGTTTTTTTAACCAAGGTTAACTTGTGAACCCATGTAAAACCTCTTCAGTATTTTATTGCTCTTGGAACGGTACATTTTGAATGATTTGTAAAATTGCAGCCTAGTTTGCATTTTCCTCACCTGTCCAAACAGAAGAAAGAGAGGATGTGGGTAGCTTCTTAGTTAGAACCACGATGAAAGGAAAATAAATCCAGTTGAGACATTTCTGTGGTATTCTCTGATCTAATTTTGATAGCTTGTGTTTAAGTTAAATTTTCAACATTTCACTTTCCCCTTTGGTGATGGAACAGGTTAAACAAAAAAACCCTAAAAGCTTAGAAATCACGATTCTCACATAAAGATACAGAGTATATGAGTGATGTAATGTGTGAATGATTTATGATTTAAGCTTTGAAGATTTATTATATCCTTTCAACAGACTACTACATTTTTAATAAATTCTAATCTACTTTACTTTATACAAGTACTAGAATCCAACAATGAGGTAAGAGATCACCATTGCTCACATAGCAGGCTCTGGTAAGGGAAGGATACAGATGATTAATAGAGCTCTGGGTTTCTCTAAATCATATTGCATGTTGTTTGAATATTGAATTACATCAACGTTTAAGAACATACAAAAGGTTCCCAACAAAAGAAGGCCATCTGGCCCATTGAGCCCATTTGGTTGACCGAAGAAGCTCATCCAGCAGATCCATGAAAGAAGCCAGCAAGGGTAGGTGTTTCAACAACATGACTGGATGCTTTTTCCAGACTCCCACAACCCTTTCATTAAAGTGTTATCAGTTTTAAATGCACTTCTATGTAGATTCCACTAAAGTCAACAATAAAATGTATTATTGCTGATATCAGAATAGAAAAAAACATTATATCACATAGGCTATAGTGAAGAAGGATGTCCTACTGTATGCAGGACATACTAAGATGAAAAACAAATACTTCAAAGATACCTTTGGTTTTTTTTTCTCAGAACATTCTTATATTGCTGTAGCAGGGATTGAATCTGCATAACCAAGGGAAAAGTCCTATTGAATTCTTAACCCAAGTTTGGGCTCCGATATTGTCAAATACAGAGCATGTTTCACAGAATAAATAAGCACCCCGAGCCAAAGTATGTGGTTTGGCCAGAGTCACTGAATGGTATTTTTCACGCCCTTAAAATCTGTCAGCAGCACTGTACCATTGAATCCACAAAGCGCACCAAAAGCCTGATGATGCATACAGGCCTTTACTCCTCAGGCCTTTACTAAACTTTATAGATTGAAGGGTAAAGTTTAAAGTGCAGCTCACATTTCCGGGAAACTCATAGGATTACAGACAGACCCTTTAAAGAAACATCCCTCAGCTGCTCCAATAAATTCACTTCACAGCTCAAATCATTTTGCATAATTTTGTTTTTCCTCACCCAGAAGAATGAGGCTTTTGACCACAAGTTCCCAGCAATAACCGTGCTTTTAGCCTCAGAAATTCCATGATGATATCAGAGAGAGAGGACCAATATTCATCTCGGACATGTTTGTATCTCCTCAGACAATGCTTCCAGTAAAAATAGCGGCTGAAGCTCTGCTTTCAGAGGAGCCAGGCCACGACTTTCTTCTTGGCATTTCTGGGACTTTCATGTGGAACGCTTTCAAAACGGCAACATCCTGGAGACCACAGCGCATACTGCAAAGTTCGCAAGTTTTTGTTTCTCTCAATGTCCCAAGCACTAGGCAACCACTAATCAAAACAATTCGGTTTCATTGAAGCCCTGATGCACAAATAACGAGGGTGCAAAGGCAATAAAAATACGACATCTTCAACTATACGTGTGCATCGGCAAATTGTTTATACGAAACGAATAATCCACATTTATGAAGGGAATCAAGGTACTGGGTTTTACTAAGTGTGGCAGGTGATGTGTGCCAAACTGTCACAGTTTTTTTCTTCAGTTTGGGATCAATGAACACTGGGAACTAAACTGAGACTGCTCCGTCTTCACCAATTTCATATCTGTGAAGAACGTCGGTGACACCTTTTCTCTTAGCCGGTCCTGTCTGCTCCCTCAGACCTGTTTAGCAATTCCCCAGACTCGGAACAGGAAGAGGCTGGCTGTGCACAAGGGTGCAGGCTTCAGTCCCAGCCAGGGCCATCCCAGCTCATTATCTGCCTATAAAAAGAGAGGCTCTGTGGCCTCTCAGGTTATGGGACTCCACATGATCCGATACTCTTAAAGGATATTATACTCCTTTCACTCCAAGGAAATACCAAAATGTCGTTTGTGTGATTATATCAGCCCCATGAAATAAACAAGGATCTGATTACAGATTTGTTATGGCAATAACAGTGCCATGAGACATTTTACACCACTTTAACACAAATGCCAAAGTTTGCTAACACACCCGATGCAATTTAATAGTGGAAAAGTCAGGAGTGTGAAGCTAGATTACTAGTATGAAAGTTCATTCTACAGTTGACAGGTTTGAGAATGTCTTTATTGATATTGAGCATGATATATTTACAGCTTACAGCTGCATTTAACTCAACTGTTCTACGAAAATATGGATTTTAGTCTAAACAACACATATAACAGTATAACCACACATCATACAGTAATAGTTTAGACTATTAAATGGGTGACTAACCACTGGGAGCAATAAACTCAAAAAGCAAACATTATCCACATCAAAGCCTGACAGAAAAACATGCAAAAATGTTTAAATCCCCTAAAGGGAAACTATTTGCATTAAAATAAAACTTCACGTATAAGAACAAGCAACAGCATAAGAGCAAACTTTTTAGAGTGTTAAAAACTCAGCCAAGAACAAGCTAAGCCCAACACCTGAGTCTTCAGCCCAAAGCAAGGCATCTGCATTGGGACAGAGCTCCTAATCTCCAGCAGCACCACAGCTCATCCCTCAGGGAGAGAATGGTGGAAGGCTCCACATTTCCCCTTTAGCTAGAACATGCTCCTGCTACACAGGGCTGCATCGTTTCTGAAGACAGGAAATGATCAGATCACTTAGTCTGGGTGCACACCAAACCAGTCCCATCAGATAAATACTTATTTTACAGAAAGGCAATTCAAGCAGAGGAGGGTGTGCCACGCTGTGACTTGTAAACAAACACGTTACATTTTTTGTGAGAAATATAGAGTGTTTTCCATACATGTAAATACACAGAAAAACTGCACACGAATACAAAATACTGCAGATTTTTGTGCCCTTAAAATGTGTGAAGCTCTCTGTAGGCAACGGCTGAATAATTGTAGAATTATTACTTTTACTTTAATTGAGCTATTATGAAACAGAACAAAACATTATGCATGTTAAAGAAATCTTCAAATGAACATTTGGTTTCAGTAAAATATTAACAAGAGGTGATACCCAAGGAGTTAAAAAAACAACCCCTCTGTTTATTAGCACTTGTAAAGCAGCAGGTGAGGATCCTACAGTCTGATTCAGCTGCGCCGCATGTCTTAGAATTCCTTCAGGAGTGCTCGAGCACTATTATTTAAAGGTGCAGTGCCCCATTAAACATTTAAAATGTTTCTTAAAATGTAGTATGGTTTATACATTGTGTGTTATAGTGTTTCCTGAAACCTTCATCAGATCAAAAAACAAACTTTCAGGACCTTTGCAGCCTCATTTTATAATAATTTCCAGGCAAATCATTTAAAAAAAAAACTTCCTACAGAAGGAAAAATTGCCAACTACTGTGGGCATTGTAAATAACCTGGTGTAACTCTCAAAACTTTTCTCGTACTGGAATGGCTTTCTGGATAATTAGTAGCAAAACATTTTTATAAAACGGTAAAACACTCAAAGGCATTTTACTGGCGCAAAATGATGCATGGATTAGAGATACTAGAGCCTTTAATGGGGAATAATGCTGACTTTAAATAACTAATGTGAGGTTAAACAGCCCGGTTTCTTATGTGATACACTAAATTCCCACAAGCCTTCAAGAGCCTAAAGGAGAAATTAACCTCTCAGCTAATACAGCACAAGGCCCTTTTAACAAACCCTGTCACATTGCATATCAGTGAAGCTCTGATCTGTGGAGCACAACACAGCATGCAATGACTAATTCTTTCTAAGCAGAGGGTAGAACCCATCAGAGGAATGATATCTTACCTGAAAAGGAAAATATTTTGCATTTAGAAGATGCGTGCAGACATATATTATCTCTAAGAGCACAATTGTATGTTTACAGACAGCAATCTGTTCCCATATATCACTGAATCAAGTCACATTAATATGTGCTGTAGTAGATGGTGTGTCTTTCAATTGTTTTTGATGTTTACTTGATAACGTCAGAACATGGCTTCCTATTTACTTTCGAAAGGCAATGTGACCTTAAACCCTGAATGGTATAATGGCAATATGACATAATAGCAATGGTATAATGGCAACATAATAATGGCAATGGCGATATAATTCCAATACTCATGGCTTCATTGAGCACCTATACCTTACAGCGAACCATTAAAGGCAAGATAAAAGGAAGGTTTTACCAGCTGAGCCGCGGCAACCTTTAAATGGATACATTTAACCATGTCCACTTCAAGGATTCAACAAAAAGGTGCGGCACTGACAGGACACACCTCTTCTCTCAAACATTCCTAGAGCACTTCAGAGGGTACGCTTCATTTTGGCGTTCACAGACAGAGACCTTGCTGGCCTTTTCACATCAGCAAAACCCTTAACCAATACTATCTGAACACAAAGTAACTCTGGATTTCTTCTGAATGAAAGTAAGCCCTATGTAGTGCCTAGAAATAGATATTTAATAAATTAAAACATATCTGAAAACATTTCTGAACTTGCTCTCCCTTGTTCTGTCAGATTACAATTACCGTTTAGGTTTTCTGACATATATTGTTCGGTTTTCACCTCACTTAGCTTTGTAAATGAAATTATACTCAGGCTCCCAACACATTGGTGCTCACTGCAGCCTGAAGCACTACATGTCTGAACTCAGTACATTAATAACCCCCCCCAAAAAAACAGCTAAAATATCTGAAATGTCAGAATATCTCTGCACAGCCCTTGGGGTGAAAAAAAAAACATAGTAAAGGATTGGTTTTTGTCCACTCAGGGAGAAGGAAGACGAAGTGGTTCACCTCAACAGTAATGACCAGACACAATGAAAAATGTCTACAATCTTCAACAAGGCAACGATATTATTAAAACTGGAACGTTCCCTATGGCATAAGTCTCCAAATAATGTCTTTTTTTTCATCCTTGTGGATTCAGACAATTACATGTGGATACAAATCAGAAATGTAGCTGTGTGCCAAACATACTGTAGTATCATAGACACGCAACTTTAATTTAGTAACAGACCAAAAATATTCTAATTGCATTTCACCAACCAAATGTATTACTGCATCCCGACTTGGCTGACTAACTCTTGCATGTGTGTGTGTGTGTGTGTCACAAAAGGTTTCTTGAAACAGGGCTAGAAAATGGCATGTAGAGAACTGCCCCAGTCTATTTCCCAGTGACTGCTGGTCTCAAGCAGAATAATAACAGTGTACCCACGGTGTCATTTAAGAGAAAGAATTATTAATTAGACAAACACCTCATATTGCTTGTCCCTTTCTTGTATAGCTCACTCCTTCACTCTCTTCAAGGGTCACGTGTAACCACCGATTTGTTAAGTCACAAAGTTACAGTAGGTCACAAATATTTCTGAGCAGAAATGTCCTCTATCTGACAGAATGTCCATGCTGTGACCTTGCTTCCCTTCTGTGTTTCTAGTCAAAAGACTGAGTTAGTTTCTGATGTTGGAATCCTAAGCATCTATCCAAAGTCTGAAAAGCTCTGAAAAAAAAAAACAACTCCTGCTTTAAGCCATTTTGAAAAACATCAGACAAATACCAGCGATGCGGCTGTGGAAGAAATCCTGAACAGTATTTTGACTCTAACTTGCTCAGTGTGAGGGGTGACTGGCCCTTGTGGACTAGCAAGCCAGGGATGGTGGAGACCTGTTAGCATGATACACACCAGAAAACAGTGCTCTGGAGACCCATAATTATAACCCGGGCCAGGAAACTGGAGGTTATTTTCCTCCCAAACCTTTCTTTTGTTATGAACTCTATTAAAAGTATTTTTTTTTCGAACAGCTGGATTACTAAAGCATGAGTAAAACAGCAAGGTGTACAAAACACACTTTAAAGTAAATAGCAGAGATGTGTCTTTAACAAAACTAAAAACAGCAAGATATATAAGGAAGGTCATCTGTTCTAAAGGACAGAGAACAGTTAAAAGGTTAGAAAATCGACAAGTGGAAACAGTCAGTGCTCAGCACTAGAAAGAACTTAAAAAATGCATCTTAGAAAGACACTTTTAGGAGACATCAAAATAAAAACCGTGTTCTGAAGGACAATCAAACATAATCTGTTCTAAAACAAATAAGCATAAAAATCAGATGTCAGAGCCCAGTCTTCTGAGCTGCATGATGCTTCTGTATTCTTAAACAAATGGTAGAAACAATCTTTTTCCACTAATTGCTTACTTACTTAAACAAGACAGTCATGTGTAAGATGAGACTCATACACTGTGCTGATGCTCATTAAATAGTGTAGACCTCAGACCCTATGGAAAGTTACAAGCAAACATCTCAGTTGTTCAAGTGGTTTGATTTAAGCAAAATCTTGAACAATAAGTAAACTGGGATCACCAGTATAACAATGCTGATAGTCTTTCCTTTAAAAATATCCTGTCTTCCTTCCTTAAAATAACTTTATTTAACAAATTATGACAGTCTTAGAAAATATGAACTTTAGGTAATTAAAATATGATCATATTTTACAAGTTTAATACATGAAATGTAGATGTGCCCCACGCCAAGTTAAAAAAGAGACCTACAGATCTATTTGAAATGTAAACGTACTTGAATTATTTGCTTTTCAAGTTCTCTTTGAGTGAAATTTGAAAGGATTAGGCTTCAGGAATACTAAGCGTATGTATAGGGCAAATTTTAACATTTCAATTGTAAAAATACAAATCTTATTCAGACTGCAAATAGCCTTCCCCACAAATCTGTCTATACTGACAGCAGCACAAAAGAGGCCTGTGGATTACGTAATTCTCTTGTCATCCTGTGTTTCGCTCAAAAGTCGTGCTTTTCTAAGAAACTTCCAAGTTATCTAAGAAGCCAGGAGCCCACAGTCAGTTTGTTCAAGTCGTGCATTTAACCTGAAATTAAAACACGTTGTGTCCACAGACGTACACTGCATTATAGAACGGTTCATAAATCCAGCAGAAGAAAAGTTCAGTGGCTCTCTTTCGTGAGTATCTTTCAAACATCACAGGTATCACGCTGTATCCCACATATGGGTGTTTTTGTTGTACATACTGTACATAGGCCTTCTGAGAACTGAGCGAAAGGAAGCGCTTCCTTCTCCACTAACCCTATAGCGTGTTCCCATCAAGTCTCCACGGAAAGAAAGACTGACCGCAAAGGAACAAAGCGGAGATCTTTAAACTGCTGGGTCAGCTAACTCATCATCACACTGCGCCCCCCTCTCTCTGCACACTCACACGGTACGTTTTTTAGTCTTCCCGCAAAAGCAAGCAAGTCTCACAACAAAGGAAAGGCAAGCGGCAATTTTTAAGCCCGTTTTCAGATTTTACCAGGGTTTCGTTTTGTGTTTCGGACTGCGCTGTGTAACACCGACAGGCGTAGGGTAAAGCCGCGTATTAAATGGTGAATGATTAGAACATCAGTCCCCAAAACTTCAGACGTCTCCGTGAAAAAAAAAAGGTCCTGAAATGCGCCTCCGCTCACAAAAGCCAAACGGGCTTCTCTCCGCTCAGCGTGAAATCAGCGCTGAGCCTTCGCGCGCGGCAACCGTGGAGTCAGACAGCTGTAACAGCTGGAGCAGGAGCTCCATCACGCAGTGTAACCCAATCCATGCATCCTGCTCCCAGTTCCCAGCTCCGTGGGGGATGTGCTGTTTTTCTTCGCTTGAAAAGGAGACTGCAAAGTAATATACGTCTTCTTGGAGAAATGGCTTTCCCCGCAACCGTAAAAAGCATACATCTTTAACACACAGAATAGCTTTAATGGGAAAAATGCGCGCAATTCAATATATTCGGATTAGCTGCTTCGTCTTAAAATCGTTAGGAGGATATCCAAAGTTTAATATTCTGCATAGCTGACAGCGTTAAATGACCCAGAGAGTAAACTTTCTGTATCTGGTATAGACAATGCAGAAACTCAGCTCAACATATTGCCTATTCGCCCAGTATAGATTTCACCAGTTTAACGTAAAAAAAAAAGTCTCCCGGTACGCCCAGCGCCCGTCTCTACACAGCAGAGTGGTTGCATGGCTAAGTGCAGTGAAGAGTAAATAAACTGTTACATTTACGACGGTCACTTACTTGTCCAGGACAAAGTACAAGTCGAAAGCGCCTTGACAAGACCTTTCTTCCTCTTCCTCTTCCTCCACTCCGGGCTCTGCTCTGACTGAAGCACTTGTGAACATTAGGAAGCCCAGCAGAGCTAAGGCAAGAGACATGTTAATCAAAAAGCTCGCCATCTTTTTCCCGTCTGGTAGATCCCCCCAAAAAAAGCGCAGCCGAGGAATTCAAGTGATTCACATTATCTCATGCGTCTTGATAAGGTTTTCTCCCGGCTGGGTTGGCCAGGAAACGTCAGTCGCCCAGGATTGTCACGGTTGTTGTAGGTGTCGCTTCCTTTGGATCTGCTAGGAGGCTCGATTTCGAAACATTCCTCAGACTTGCCCTTCTTCTAGCGGAGCGGAGCGATGAAAGAGACGACCATGCCAATACTGGGATAGAGGGAACTACTTCCCTTTTCCGGAAAACACAAAACGGAGAGCAAATTATGAATATGGGCAAGATTTAGGGTCATTACTGTCCACAAAACACAGTTGCACGCACGAAGTTCGGAAAAGTGTCAGTATGCTTACACAAATAAAGTCCAGTAGCAGAAAAGTGAGAAACCAAAAGATAAGTATTCGCCTAATGTGTGAAGACAGACGTATCAGTTTAGAGCTCATTTCAGACGCACATTAGATAGATTGGGAAGGAAATATTACTATTCCTTAAAAATAGGAAGAGTGCAACAATAGAGACCCAGGCTACTTTACCAGATACAAACAAGTCAATTAAAGACGGGATCATGTTAGTTACCTGGATATACAGTTAAAGTAACTCGTCTTCGGGGAAATGAATTGTTTTTGGGCACGATGTAGCATCTAGAGTTTGCCAGGTAAAGTGGTAAAACAGCACAGTGTTGGAACTATTCAACCTACTGCAGCTTTTTCTCAGGTTACAGGCTGTCTGAAACGTGCTGTTCTTCACAGCTATTAGGAAGACTGTGATACACTGCCGGTCACCGCGGTGCTGTCCGTGGCTCGGTCTTAAACGCATCCCGGTGTGAAAAGGATACGAGGCACCAGAGCTACAGTATGTAGTCCTAAACTTCGAACAATGGCAGTGAGCAAGGAGCCACTACGGGCTGGCATCGCTTAGACACATTTCTTATAATTGTAACTATAATTGATCACCATGAGGACTATCCTCTGGCTTGAAGAAGGGAGAATGGCAAGACATGCAGACCGTTTTTATTGATATTAACCAAATTAAATAATTGATTCAAACAGCTAATGGCTCGGTTATTTTGGCCTTTCGTAAAGTTTTTTTTTTTCTCTCGTTTAGGAGGACATTGAAGTCACCACATCCTACAAAGGTATATCTTATTCGTTTATTATTCTGTATCTTCAAAATAAAACCGTAAGCTGGTTTGACATGCAGTGGTGTTTCTTTTTTGGCCTAAATCTTTGGCGAATTCTGGAGAGAAGGACCTCCTGTTGAAAAAATAAACATAAAATAAATAAAGGTATTTAAATAAGAGAAGAACCGTTCTGAACAAAATAGATTTATAGTCTCACCCTTGTTGGAACAGTTAATAATCATTTTGGCTTTGCCGCAATTTACATCCAGGCTGAAGTTTTTAAACAGGAAATGGAGTTATGTCTCTGTCCTTTCTTACATCACTTATCTACATTGTGTTTTCAATTGAAATACATAATATTGCCAATATTGTTTTATTATCAATCATAATAAATGTATTTCATTTGAGTACACATTTATTCATTATTGAGGGCAGTGGTAGGCATAACAGCTTTGTTTAGAATAACACCATCGTTTATGTGACTAAATACTGCAGCTTCGCAAACAATAGCTCCTCTATGGAGCCCGCGGCACACGGACACCACAGGTGTCAGTGGAAGTCAGGTCTGGGAAAGGGACCTCATCCTCAAGGTCTAATGTGTAAGAAAAAACAAAAACAAATGCCCTTTTCGACGACTCACGTGAATTGGTTTTCATTTGTTCTTGTTTTTTTTTATTTTGATATATTTGCGTGTTGTCTACTATATCTACTATTGGAATTGAATAAAAATGACTAATATTTCTGTTTTATATCTACTACCATGTGAAAACTCTCTATTCAGGTCCATCAGTCATGTGTTTACCGCTTGTTTCTTCGCAGACGTTTGATGTATATCTATATATTACTGCCACCCTTGTAGCTGTAACTGTGTTTTAATTCCGAAAAGGTTCTATTGCGAACTATTTCCGGCGACACTTGGGTCAAGGAGGCTGAAAACATAAACAGACTATCCGTGCCTGTTGACGGATGAACAGCATTTTAATAATCCCCACATTGAACTGTAATGTAAACCTAAAGCAAATACAATTTCATTTATGCTTTACCATCAGTATTTGGGTGATAACGCTGTAATCTTCACACCCATCTGCCACACTGAATAATTTTGAACTACGCTCTAGCACAGCGAACGGTAAAGTAACAGTACAATAGTAACCGTACAAATATTCTACGACACTGCCGTGTTGCTATTAGAAACATTACGGTAAGGCTGTCTGGTCGTGCAGTGTACCCTGTCTCTAAATTAACGTGTTATTTAAGAAAATCTAGATACGCATCAGAATTTTAAAATATTTTGAATAATTTAGTTTCATGCAAATACTCTGTACCTTTACTATAATGTCGCAAGCCTATTGTCTTTTTTCACTTTTCATAAACTTTATATAGGATTCATCGATGGCCTGGTCTCTCGGGTTGCTTAAGGAATTGAACAAATACTACTTTGGGTGGGCAATAATTTAAAAAGAAAAATAATAACTTCAAGTACGAATGGGTGGATTTTTTTTATTGTATTCATTTTAATTGTTAGATTAAAATGTTAGAGTTAAATTACGGTTACCTTTTCTGTCAAAACAGAGTAGACGAGAGTGTTTCTTGTTCAGAAACCTTTCTATAAATTAAAACGCAGCTGCACAAGCCGACTGTGAAAAGCGGCGCTGTCTCTGATATTAACCCTTCCACGGGAGGAATACAATCGTTTCTTCGTCCCGACTATATCAGTACAAAATTAATTAGATATTGTAATTATTATTAGTAAGAGAAAAGCAAAGTTTGTACAGTATAACCGAATGAACCTGCAATACATCAGTCCATTATACTGTAGATAATGTAGATCACGTGATACTATAAAAGCTATCTAGAATTCTATAGTAAACATAAATTAATATTTAGTTTTTTCTCCAATTAAAATAGCAAAATGGAGCTTAACTGAGTGACACACGATCCATTGGGATTTATTCGCCATTGGCCGAATACATTATTCTTATAAAAACTCCCCATCACTTAAGTACTTAATGGGTTACGTCGCCTCATATGTTTCAATTAATCACCGTTTCCAATACATACAACATATAAAGGTGTAGTAGGTTTTAATAGTTCAAGTAGGTAGCTGCTTCAACATGCGTAGGCTGCAAAGGAACAAGTAAAGGTTTATTCCATGCTGAAAAGAGAAGAAAGGAGACACAACGTTTCAGCTGTGGAGCCAAAGATGACACCCGAAGAAGGCTGACTGTTCGCTTTTTAATCTCTAAGTGTTGTTTCTATATTTTGATTTTAATGACCCTTTAAAAGAAATTGAGTTTTGTGGCCTCTCTTCCTCAGATTTGTAATTTTATTTTTTTAAAGAAAGGTCTCAGTTTTGTCTTCAGGTGATTTTTATTCATTGTTACTATCATATTTGATTGTTTTATACATAAAAAGCGCCCCTCTGACGTCTGCAATCGCTTTCATGGCGAGAAATTCTCGCTCAAAATATCGGGGGCTCCTTTATGTCTAAATAGTTTTGAAAATGAAAACGTTTCACAATCACAATAGAAACACGGGGGCATGCGAGACCGCGGGTCCTGGGTTCAAACCTACACCGTTGCTTGTTGTTGGGCCTCTGAGCGACACGTACTTCATTTGATTTGCTTCAGTCAAAAAAAAAAGAAACAACAAATTGTTTCTATTTTTATGGATTAACAGGAAAGATCACTATAATGCAGTCTGGGTTAGAAATAAAAAAAAACCCTTGGTTGTTTAATTTTTTGTTGTTGCTTTTCCTTTGTTTTTCTTACCGGTTTTAACTTGAATTTTTTTTCGTTTGGGTTCATTGAAATTGTTTTTTAAAGGCCAAGGAGGCCATTTTTTTAAATTACCCCGGTTGGAACCTTAAGTTTTTTACTCTTTTCTTTTTTTCTTGGTTGCCATTGTTTTTTTTTTAATTCTCCTAAATCTTGTTCGAAGCGGCAGATATATTAGGATTCGTCTTTTAATGCACGGCGAGCTCTTTGTTTTCATAAACAATAGAAAGTGTTTTATGAAAACTTAGTAGTCCACGTAGCTCTAGTGGTTTAATTTTATTTTTTATTTGCACGGCATAAAATCCAAATAAATATTGTTAAATAATTATTGAAACTGCCGAGCAATATGTATCAGTATTTGTAAATCCCATTTCATGTTTTACCACGCTACGTTATACAGTCAGAGAACTGTGCAGACTACAATTCAATTAATGTACTCTTATTTTAAAGGGCTAAAATAGTTCATATATAGTATTTATTTCAGGGCAAATATTCCATGTCTAGATTTAACTGACCTAAAAATATCATTTTCAATGTTTATGTCAATATCGGAAAATAGCCAAATGACTTGAATGGACATTTCTAATTATTCTAGTTTTATAGAATACAATAGACGTCAGTGAATGTGGAGCGACATCTTTCATAACTAATGCGTTTCCAAATGTGTAGCTGTTCTTTCTCTGTCGCCTGTATTCACTGAAGGTTTAACTCAACCCTGCCATCTCTGTATACACTATAGAAGGTCGAAAATATACATGAAGATTGAAATGTTTTGAGTCACACTAAATACACTTTAATGGGATTCTGGGCAAGTGACATTATTTAAGATTTTAGTGCTGGAAAATATGCTTATATTATTTTGAACAATTAACGGTAAAACGGATTTCTGGAAAACGCTTCATAGGCCAGCGTGTGTTTTCGGTGTCACCTTAAAGTCGAGTGAAAAGCAAGCCTTAAAAATCCTTTTTCTTACCTTCCCAACTTCTTAATTAAGGGATTGGTTTTGTTTGGTTTGGGTTTTTCCCTTTTGGCTTTATTTTTGGATTGGCTTTTTTGTTTTTATTAAAATTTTTTTTTTTTTGCGTTCCACGTTTTGCTAGCTTTTTCTGTTACACGGAGCCCAAGTACCAAGGGTTACCGATCCGATATTCGACAAGGTCTAGAGATTAAAACACGTTGATTCCTGGCAATATTGAAAAGATGTGCGCTATTTCGTTCCTCCGTTTAGTTCCTTTCTCGTTTACCAAGCTTTCAATCTGTACATTTCTCAAAGCCTTTCAATTTTCAAATGGCAGTGAGATACTGTGGCGTCGGTTTTAGTTAAGAGCCTTCCATACATTCGCTGGGGCCTCTATTGGGTAGGATATTCATTATAGATAACAGAAATATGAATATGGTGGTTAAATATTCAGATCGATGCCTCCAACGTTAGATACCGGGTAGATAGATACTGTGAACTGTGTCGTAGCTATCAAAAGGAGGAACGTGAAAATTAAATTATTAAGCGCAGAGTGTTCCCGCAGTGCTCCGTTCATCAATTATTCTTTTCAACCATTCAAGACTCCCTTTCTTGTCTAATTAGGCTGTAAAGGCAGAAAAGCACCAATCAAAATGCCACCTGGGGGATGCAGGGAGCGGAAGAGCTCATCTATGGGCCATCACGCATCAGCGCTCCTCTTCCACACTGAGAACAAGTGTCTGATTGAGAAACAAAGTGGCAGTTTTATCCAGAGCTCCTCGGAAACGCTCGTTTTTACACACCACAGGACAGGACGGACCAAGCCCGTCGCACCTGCAGCTGTCTTCCTGTTCGGAGCACCTACGCGTTCAGCTGGTGAGTGCGCAAAATATACTGTACGCTGCTGGGGTGCTCAACGGGAATCATTTCCGCGTATCTTGCGTTTACGCCCGTTATAGGTTTCCCATCCTGCCGTAGTTTTACAGCGTCTCCGTGAAACAGTAATGTACACGTTTGATGTAAACAAATGACAGTACTCTTGAGTCTACACTTCATACGGGATAATACAAAACCGACACACATACGTCCAAGATGTATTTCTACATTGAAACAGAGTGGTCGGTCTCTGGCACCTGTACGTTAGTCACTTGAAATGACCGCGCTGGACCGGCTCCAGATACTTCGTCGAAAATGTTCTGAGGTCGAAGTAAGCTTTTTTAAATCAACACGTTGCTCCCCATAATAAATGTAATTAAAACAGTTGGCGTCAGCAAGAAGAAAAAAACGCTCTTTGACATCGTTCCCAAAGTCGCTGTAAACAGTTACCGCAAACCCACTTCTGACGATTTACGAGCAACGCGTTCAGTTCGGATATGTACTGTAACTATTCCCTCTAAGACCTCTTTCCCCCATTATTACAAGACATGAAACAGTTATTTAATCTCTACGGGGGTAACAACGACAAAACCGGGATGCAAGGGGCACGCACTAGGAAGCCAGATGGGCAGACAATGGGAGAAATCAAACTGAAACATTCGGAACAAAAGGCTGTTTACAGAAGTCCAGAATCTACCGAATGCTTATTGTTATTGTGACTGATAATCGTTGCAATTCGTAAGAACGTCACGTTTATGAAAACGTGCTTTTCGCAGTCGGTTGCAGCTATGCAAGTTGGTAAAATTTACAGGGCAGCAAATTTAAAACTCGCTTCTACGTTTAAACTGTACCTTCGCGCTTTAATTGTAAACACCTTTTTGTGGATTGTTAAAATTGTTTTTTTAAGAACACGCCGAGGTCTACGAATACCTAGAGTTATCAAACAATTCTATCTTTAAGCATTGCTTTAATCTTCTGTGCAAATGAAGTGAAAGACCCGAGGAGAAAGGGACCGCAATTAGAACTGGGCTCTGCATTTTTGTTTGCAACGCCACGACGATTTTCGATTGGATGTAAATTATTATAACGTACTGCACAGTTTAAAATGACACATGCCTCCACACTTTCGTTGCCGCCGCAATTTGTAATTTAAATTATACACGAGGAAAGATGAACAGGTAGTGCCCAAGGCGCCGTCTTTCTCTTCTGGAAATAGAAGCGCCCCAGGTGTCTCTGGGCACCGGCTGAAAAACGAGTCTGCTCCCAGAATGATTCCCTAAAAAAAAAAAAGAGCACTTGTCACATCACTGGCCATTTATCCCGTGTCACGTTCGCAGGTAGATCATGGAGCTGGGCTTTCTGCCCCGGTCATTCTGGGCCGGCGACGGAAAACCTCTGCACCAGCACGTCACGGACCTGTTCACCAGCGTGCACGTGACGCGAGACATCCCCGCGGGGGTCTCGTTCGGACCCAGCGTCCTGCAGAACACCTTTTACGACACCATCGCCTTCATCGCTCTCAAGGCCGCGGACAGGAGAAACAAATCTTACGTTTTCCGAGTATGTGTGTGTTTTTATTGGGGGGGGGGTACAGCGTACATACCCCATTCGTAAAAATACCGATTTAAATAATAAAGACCAAGATCATTTTAAGCTTCTCCGAGCCTCTCCCTGAAATAATAATTAAAAAAAAATACTTTACAGAACCATTTCCACATGTGTCGTCAGGCACCCAATTGCCATAGTGCTTCCAAATACGAACTTTGCTCTCATATAGCTGAATACGACAACTTGACTTTTTTCCAATGGTCATTTCAGCTAAGCGGTACACCCAGAACGTATATTTCACCCGTTTTCATTTCAACGTGAATGTGACCCCTACTTGTTACTCTTTCGATCTGATCTGTTGGTGAAATTTAATGAAAAACACGTGCTTTTTGCTGGCAGAATAGCTCGTCGACATATTCTTTAAAATAACGAACAAATGTGTTGGAATGAAAATAAACCTCGTGTAGTTTAATGAGAAACTTCCACTAGTCGCTGGCCAACTTTCATTATGACTTCAGTGGATCTTATTTGTAATCTTTTTACTTCTACATTCTTTCTAAGGGACTTACTGTTAGTTGAAGTGCAGGCTTTAGGACAAACACAGACAATTAAACACTTAACATGATGTGCAAAAAATCTCTCCATTTACCGAATTCTTGCCCGTTAATTTCAAGCTTTTTGTCGTTGTTTTGTTTTTTTCCAAATCCAAGTGCGATTCAGATGGTTTAGATCTACAGTAATCGTCGTCAAAAGGCTGTAAAAGATAAACACAAACCTACACACACACGGCCGGGTGTGAAGCTGTTCTCCGCGAACAGAAGAAGCGTTGTCGGCTGTACAGTTTCCCTCTGACCTCCAGCCTCTTGACTGCGGCTGTGCCTACAGGTGGACGCCGAGGCAATGAAGAGCTCGACCAGCGCCCTCTCCTGGCTGAGGCTGGTGCAGGCGGCGGGAAACCGAGAAGAGCAGAACATGGAGGCTTACCTGAAAAGCAGTCAGCTGTATTTCCGGTCCACGAGGAGCATCAGGAAAGACGAGGAACTGTTGGTGTGGTACGACAAAGAGCTCTCTCACCTCCTGGGATTCAACGACATCAACCCCCAGCATTTGCAGGATGGTGAGAAACCGTGAGCTGTAGTCGTTCAAGTAGGTGCTGTAGCGGCGTCAGCACACATACTGTACAGCAGGCTGCAAAGGAACACGTAAGGGATTATTCCATGTCGAAGAGAGAAGAAAAGAAACACAACGTTTCAGCTGTGGAGTCTTCTTAGGGTGACAGAGGAAGAAGGCTCCACAGCCGAAAACGTTGTGTTTCTTTTCTGCTCTTTTCTTTCTACTTGTTCCTTTGCAACTGTTAGATGTGTTGTTCTTGGGTAGAAAATGCAGGGTAACCTTCTCATTTGGAGAGCTGGATTACAGTCATAACTTCTAAGGAATTTACCCAAAAAAATTGTGATTTGCATGCTCTCTTCACTGAACAGGACAGGCTACCTATCTGCACGTTTGCAGTGACAGCAATATTGACTTTCTAGCTCAACCAGTTGGAGTTCCGTAGAGTACCTATTGAAAAATAAAAACTTCAGAGTTTCCATTCAAATGAAGAGTCCATTGGGCTATATCAGGATTGGTGTAAAAGTAACTCTTCGTAATATTGAGTTTGGAAGGCCATGGATCAAGTCTCAATTAACTAACTATTGTGAAAGACTGGAATTGGGCATGTTAAAGAGGATGCCATGCTAAGATTTTAAAGTTGTCATGTGAGTGCTAACGGGGTGTTTATCTATCTGTACAGGATTTAAATGTACGAAGTGTGACCAGACTTTTAAGAATGAGCACCCCTACTTGGCGCACTGCCGTTTTCTCTGTGCACAAGGAAAAACCGACGTCTTCCAGCAAAAAAGCATGGAAACCAAGCGGCTCCAGCGAGTCACCGATTTCCACAACATCGCCAGGGACCTGGAGCACAGAAAGTCCCAGCCGAGCGAAGACGCCGCCATCCCCGCTCCGCGAAAAGGCAAGCCTGAAGACGCCGACAGCTCCCGGGCCAGAAAAGCCGTTTTGCTGGAGAAAACCAACATCGCCAACGACCGCAACATCGCTTTCCTGAGCAGAGACACGCAAGCGTTGGGCCCTGAGCTGCTGGCAGCCTCAGTTCTGAAACTCGCCGCCGCGGACAGGTACCCCGCCAAGAAAGACGCCTCAGATCGGAAGCCGAGTGCGTTTACCGAGGTCAGGAGGACGAAGGAAAGGCCAAAGCAGGAGAAGGCTAACGAGGCCGCCGCCGAAAGAGGCCTTAACCGCGTTCCACACGACCGCTTGGAAACGGATTCCGTTCTGCACTCCAGCGGAAGTGCCTTCTCCTTTGTTCTGCCCAACGCCGGCGCGGAGGAGCAGAGAAGCGCCTTCTGTAAGCCGAGCAGGACCGCGAAGAACTCCTCCGCGCACCCCTCCCTCGCCGTAAGCGGTTCCACGGAGCACCTGGGGGACCTGGCCGACTCTATCGCCGCGAATAGGGTCCTGGGATATAGCCGGCTCTTGGGATCCAAAGTATTAGCCCCCGACATGGCCAACGCGCAGACCCCGGTCAGCAGGAGCGGCTCTTTCCCCTACGCGGCCGAGCACTGGCCCCGGGCGGTCGGGGGGCAGTTACGGACCGCCTCGTCCCTGACGCTCCTCCCGCCCTCCTTCACGTCCTTCGGCGTGGCCGTGCAGAACTGGTGCGCCAAGTGCAACCTGTCGTTCCGGATGACCTCTGACCTGGTGTTCCACATGCGCTCCCACCACAAGAAGGAGTTCGCGGTGGAATCGCAGGTGAAGAAACGGAGGGAGGACAAGCTGACCTGCCCGATATGCCACGAGTACTTCAGGGAGCGCCACCACCTGTCTCGACACATGACCTCCCACAATTAAGCCGGAAGAGGGACCCCACCGTTGACTTTGACAGAGAGGCCAGCTCTCGCGGACTGCTCAGCCCGCACGTGGCGGCCATGATGCGATCGCAGCGAAACGCACACTGGATAGAGCGGTCTTCTAAAAGTGTTACCGTCCTCCAGGCTGTGTTGCTTTTGAACACAAAATATCAATGGATGTGGAATATTGATATTCTGTCACCAGTCTAGATATGTGGGTATTGTATTCACAGACCGTGACATGGTATGTTTTGTAAATGGTACAATATAGACTTGCAAACAAAAAGGTTTGGACCATTGCAAAACTAAGATACAGCGTATAGTGATTTCTATATTTATTCCACTGAATGATATACATTAGAGATTAGTTTTATAAATATAGCACACCACATGACCTACAGAAACTGGAAAACAACCTGTAACAACTAGCTTAATATTTTGACTCAAGTATTTGTATGAAACCCATTCCATGCTCATTGCTGAAACGTCCCATGATTGAAAGTCTCACTTGACTATTGTAAACCATCACTTGATGATTATTGTAGAATAAAAACATAAGCTCTGAAAAATACATTGGACAATGTTGATTTAAAAAATGCAATGAAAGTAGCCGAGTACAGAGTAAATCAGTGATCTCAAGGTTGCAGTGAAACAGCTGTAAAAAGGAGATGACACGAGTTAAATAACAGAATGTCACAGTTAACTGGGAAGCCACAAAAGGACAATTATTGACAAAGCCTGGAGAACATGTAACTTGCCTAGCTTGTGCTGTGGGAGAACAAGATTCAAAATGTGAAAGAAGAATTGTCTGAGCTTGAATATCCACTACCTTGGAATATTGCAAAAATGGCACAGACATTCAAGAAAACCAAGAAATGGTCAAGAAGGCTTACTATTCCTCAATACTTTAAAAAGATTAATGTCTACAGGGGAGAAACTAGATGCAAACTACTGCTATAAACTGTACAAAAAAGAAAATGTTTGCAGTTTTCAACAGAATGCTCGTAAAAACCTGAGGATTTCTTGAACCAAATTCCATTATCATAAATGTTCCAAGCAGACCTCGTTTTACCCAGAAGTGAACACTGTTCCGAGAAGTTCCTTGAGCCAAGGTTTAGATGCGCTGGTGATTGCTTGATGGTATAGATCTTTCTCTTTCTCAGGAACTGCTGACTGTTGTATTGTAAGAGGGTAAACAGAGGCTGCAAATGTAGGAGTCTTGCAGTCACATGTTACTCAAATGCTACACTTCTTCTTAATGGACGTTTGTATTCCAGCAGAGTAATGATCAGCCGTGTTGGGTAAAGTCTAGAAACTAATTTCTGCAATAAGGGTTGGTGAGTCATGTATTTCAGTCCAGGATTTGTACGTCACTGTGATTTTGTTGATTAACCTGACGGCTGCAATTGCAGTAAGTCAATGACGAAACACACAGCTGTGTGTGCCGACACCTGAGCACAAGTATGTCCACGATACCAGAAAGTGACTTCAACATACATTCGGTGTATATTTAAAAAAAAAAACTCCACTGTAAAGGTAGCAAAAGATGGACACACAAAATATTACAATTAAGGTGCACGAATACCTGGATCAAAGAATGGAATCGGCTCCATCCATCACTCGTCAGAAGGCGCCTTGCTCCTGGTAAGGGCTGTGGCAGCCTGGCGCCTTCCTGGACAGTATAGGGCAAAGAAGGGAGCAGACCCTGGGGCTGGATGGCTTCTCATCTCAAGGCACAAACGTGCTGAGCTGTGCGACGCTGGTGAGCTGGGCCAACATGTATTTGGAATGTGAGAAGAAGCTGGGGCACGAGGAGAAACCCCATGTGACCACAGGAAAACATGCAAACTTCACACAGAAGGTGTACCAGTCCAGTTTGAACCCAGGATACAAAGGCTGTGGGGCAGCAGTGCTGATCACCTTGTCATGTCACCCACCGAATTAGTGTTTGCGTATTATTTTTAATTTTTTCAGAAATAGTATTTTTCAGACTACCCCAATTCACATCTTTTTCTAGCTCTTTTCTAAGTCGACGAGGAGTTTTTGGCTGTGGCATCCAAGAGCAGCATGCGGTCGAGTCGCTTGATTCTCACTAGATGGCGCTAGAGATGCATTCAACTTCACATTTCTGCAAGTTTATTAGAAAGTTGGGCAGCTCAATTGCATTCTCTGTGCCTTAACAGATTCACAAAGGAATTCAATGTCATAAAGAAAAAAAAAGTTGTAAGGATAATATAATATAGATTGAGTCAAATATAATAATTTCTTCCTTTTCATTATTTATAACTTATTTTATTAATCTAAATGGCTTCCCTTTGATTTTAACCTATATTTTAAAGAACAGCTGCTTTTATGGGAGCTCTGCATTTTCTGTCTTTGCTTTGGTTTGCCTGTTAAACTTTCTCTTTTCTACTGTTTTTATGTGTTAGGAGAAATATCTATATCAGCAATGAAATCTCTGATATAGATATTTCTATATCTCTTAAGAAATCTCTTAAGTATTACAGGACGTAAAACACAGAAGATAATTTAGAATGCAAAGTTATTGATAAGTAATGTAAGGTATAAAACGTATCAGCTGTCAAGCAATTATTTAAAATAATGAACCTTAAATTACATTGAAATATTTTCCTAACATTTCTTAAAGCTTAACTGATTTGTCATCAATGAAGATGAGACATTTAGGGATTTTTGAAGAAAAGTTAACTTCACTTTCCAATTTTTTTTACAATGGACTACAAATCCAGAGCTAAAACATTTAATTTCCACTTCCCTGAATAGACATTCTGCAAGGAATACCATTAAAATTATGATGGCAGATGGCATTGCAATTTTATAAAGGTTTGATTTAGTTTTAGAGAGTAACGTTTCTATCATGTTGCACTTAGGAGGGGGCTGTATTCTTTAAACTTAGACCTTGCTTCCCATCCTACTGTGTCACAGAAAAAAAGCTCCAAAAAGAAGCATTTAGGCCGAATTTAGTTCAAATAAATGAACATGTTCCATCTTCTTTTTTTGTTCTCTACTGGGTGGTAGTTTACCATGGTAGTGCCTCCTCTCTGATCCTGCTGAAGGAGGGGTGAGAAGTGGGGTGATACAATCACACTCAGCTTGTCACCCCTCACGAACGCCTGGGGGTGATGACACTGGTGTACTGTGCTGACCGATTGCTCAGACTGAGGCATGCTGAGCCCCTGCTCACCCACTTGAGCAGGTGTTGGAGCTGTGTTTCTGAATAGAGTATAACTTATTTAGGATTCCCATTTGCTCTTTTGCTAGAATTGTGGCAATTCTCTGTTCAATCCAAATGAAAAGTCCTTTCTAAGAAGGGAATGTCCAATAGAAACACAGCTGTTACAGTTCAGTCCTAACTGATGCACATTATTCTTTTCTAGAAGTGTATTAAAAAGTTTACTACACTAAAAATAAAACTTCTGTCAGCATGTTCAGACGGGATTTTTGTTTGACTATAAAACAAATAATGTTTTGTTTTGGCTTAATGATTGATTTCAACATAAAAACGTGTTGTTTTTGTTTGAACCAGAATCATGTTGTTGTATTTCTGGAGGATCTTCTGTTTTCCCATGTGTCCATTCGTTATCCTGGTGTGGGTCCTGACACACTAGAGTCTATTCTGCGAGCACAGGGTGAAGAGCTGCCCTGAGAGCACACAGCTGCCAAACAAATTAAAGGCAACTCAACTATTATACTGCCGGAACTACAAAAAGAATCACAGGGAAGGCTGTTACAATTAAGACGTTTTGAATGCATGGCTGATACAGTATCTATGGGTCACACACAGGGGCCATTCTGTACCAGCAGCCTCACCTGGGAGACACAGGGGCCATTCTCCACCGGCAGCCCCACCTGGGAGACACACAGGGGCCATTCTGTACCAGCAGCCTCACCTGGGAGACACACAGGGGCCATTCTGCACCGGCAGCCCCAACTGGAAGACACACAGGGGCCATTCTGCACCGGCAGCCCCACCTGGGAGACACACAGGGGCCATTCTGCACCAGCAGCCCCAACTGGGAGACACACAGGGGCCATTCTGTACCAACAGCCAGACTGAATAGTGAGTTAACGGGAGGAGTGAGAATTTGCTACAGCAGTTAAATTAAGGCAGAACTTAAGGGAGGTCAAATTGTACATGCCTGGTGAGGAATTTATCCAAGACACTTGGATTAACACCTCTAATCTTCTGAAGAGTGCTGTGAGGGAATGCAATGAGGTTGTGTTGATTTTGGCTGGACTTACAGATAACATCACAGCCCTGAACATTGGAGTGCATCAAAACAGTAAAGCTTTGCGATATGTTGAGGTTTCCTTTTTAAATAAAACAAAACTCCTTCTTACCTCTCCCAGTATTGTTGATCAAAGTTAACTTCATTCACGCTATATTCTCTCAAAATTCAGAAATTACAGCATAGGAATCTGAGTTTTGTGTAAAATCATTCAATTTCCAGGAAAATTATTTTTAGATAATACTTTTAACTAATACTTTTTACTTTAACAATAATTGTAACTCAGGAGCACCATCTAAAATCTGCTCTAAAATATGAATCTCTCTCCTGAAACCCAGAGCATAGTCAATATACCATGGTCTTCTCATTAATAATAATTTGTCTACAACAAATCTATTATAAACTGATATACTCTAAAGTGATGCAAAAAAAACAGGTTTTGCTTTGTCACAATTGTACTGTGTGAGTAAGGACTGCTAGAAGGAATCAGGTGTTGATTTGCAAGTGCATATTTACAATATACATGTAAGGTACAATTCCCATTTAAGATACTAATGTCCAGCCCCACAGTCAGGCATGGATGTGTTCTTGAGACACGTTATCAATTAAAAGTGTGGTATGTAATTTGAGGGAGTTTTTGATTTAAATGATCTGTCCATAATATTGTGATGTTTCAGTCATATCTCTTCTTAGTTTTCATTTTTCTTTTGCCATTTTTCTTCTTTTTACTTCCACATACTGTAGTAAACAGGAAATACTTTGACCAATGTAGTTCGAGGGGAGGTCACTGGCTGTACTACAGCCAGTATAAGACCTTCCCTTTGATTCTGACAGATCTCTCTAAGAACAGGACCTGCTGAAGGGCAATCGTAACTAAAAATAAAGACGAACTTTCAACAGCTTCGCTGTATTACTTAATAAAAGATGCAAATGACCCTTTAGAACATTTCACATGCAAATGACCCTTTAGAACAGTACTACAGTACTGTCCTCCCTTGAATGGCAGGTCTTTGAGTGGCTGTGTTTCAGTCTCACTGCACATCTGGGTTTTTAGAAACATAATGTTTTGTTGCAACATATCTGGCATTGGCATAGTCCGTGGCTTTTTCATCAGTTTGGGTCCATGTCGCTGCTATTATCCAAATGCTTTCTGCAAACTGGAAAGTATTCACGGGTGTTTGAACACATTTCACATTGAATTTGGAGTAATAATAATCACCACATGATAACATCACACAAAAGCATGAATCTTTCTAGTAATGTATATTAGGACAGCTATAGGCAGAACCTACACATTAACAATAATATAGGCAGAAAAGATAGAGATGCAGCACTGAAATGTTCTCACATATGGAAATTTGATACTTTCCAGCAAATGTACTGTAAATATTCCCTTTCACTTTTCATGTGTAGTCAATAATGTCAGTTCTATATATTAGTGTATACTTTAAAAATCGACAGAAAAAAAATTAGGTCTTGTCTTGTTAATTCTTCTAGGTAGCATTAGTCATACACATACAATGTTACAGACTGAAACACCAAAATATTTTCCTTATTGCTTGATTTAACACGTCACAGCAACCAGCAGTAAACTAAAACTTTATAATTGACTGTAACATTTTTTTCAAAGGTTGTTTGCAAAATAATAGGCTACAGTTAGTTGCTACTGCTTCCATGCTACTGTTGATTTAATATACATTGTATGTTAATCAGTGCCTGTAATATTTCACAGACCAGAGCACTACAAAAGACTTGCAGTGTGGCGAAAACGTAAGTACACCCCCTTAAGATTTTATGGTTTAACATATTTAGACATATTTTACCTGCTCCTAGTCCGTACCAACTCCTAACAGTAGGTAAAACTAAACTCAGTTGACAAATAATACAAAAAAGTTTGACTTTGTGATTATTTATTTAAAAAAATCAACCTGCATTCAATAACGTTATGTGAAAAAGTAAGTAGTTTTACCTTTTCAATTAAAAGGTTATATTCAGTTCAATTTCAATTCAATGGAATCAGCTGTACCAAAACATATGCCAGTGATGAGTTGATCATGTGGAAGTGATTCCACCAGTATATAAAATCAGAACCGTTGTCTGTCTCGTCCTATGAAGTCACATTTGTGGTAACACATCGTGATCAAAAGAAAATCTGTGACAGTCTTGCGAAAGAATTGTTACTACATATATATCTTGGAAGAGTTACAAATTAATTTCCAAACGATCTGAAGTCTATCATTCCTCGGAAAGAAAGATGCTCCACAAATGGAGAAAACTCAAGACTGTTGGCAATATACCCAGGAATGACCATCCTACCAATTTCTCTTCAAGATCTGACCATCTAATCCTCCTGGAAGTCTCATAGAACCCCAAGGGATCTACAGGCCTCTCTCGCTAAGGTAGATGTCAGCGTTCATGAGCCCACCACCAGGAAAAGATTGAATAAGAATGGGTTTCATGCAAGGACAGCAAGGAGAAAAATCCAGCTCTCCACTGTTCAGCTTCAGTTTGCCAAACAGCACTTGAATTAAAAACTAGACTTGTGGAACTTGATCTGGACACATGAGTGAAACATGGACTTATTTGGCCATAATGCAAAATGTCATGCTTGGCAATAAGCAAACTCTGCCTTTCACCAGAAGAACCTCATACCATCCATCAAACATGTTGGTGGTGGGAGGGTGATGGTTTGGGTTTGCTTTGTTGTCTCGGAACCTGGACACCTTGCTATCATTGAGCCGGCTGTAACGTCAATACTTTACCAGAGTGTTCTAGAGGAAAATGTGAGACTGACAGTTAAAGCTGAACCGAAAGCGGATCATTCAACAGGCACATCTATGACAGAATGGCTTAAAAAGAAAAACAAATCAGGAATTTGGAATGTCCAAGTCAAAGTCCAGACCTACTATAAACCTCATATAGATGCTGTGGCCAGACCTAAATGGAGTTGTGCATACAAGAAAGCCCTCAAACATCACAGAGCTGAAACAGTTCTGTAAGGAAGAACGGGCCTGAATTCTTCACAGGTGACGTGAGAGACTGATCAACTCTCGCAGCAAAGGTTTAATTCAAATTATTGCTACTAAAGGGGAGTGCCACAACGTACTGAATTAAGCGCATACTTTTTCACGCAAATATATTGAATGCTGGCTGAGTTTTTTTTTAAATAAATAATGGCAAAGCACAGTCTATGTGAGTTATTTGTCAAATAAGGATAGTTTATTCTCCTATTAGGACTTGGTTTGGACTAGGCGAAGGTCAAATATGTCCAAATATGTTAAACCCTAAAATCTTGCGGGGGTGTAGTTACTTTTTCACCACATTGTCCATGCAATAGCTAGAAGACCCTCTTCCTTGACCTTCATGCAAATGCTTGGCCCTGCTCGTGTAATCTAACGCGCGGGATCGTTAAGATCCTGGAGCCTCCATGCCCTGTGTGCCCAGATTCATCTTTGACTGTGCAGGTGGCTGCTCAGCATCTGCTTGGCTGTGTCCAGAGCCATGTCAGGGGCCGATTCCACGTGGGGGGCCACTCCAACCCCTTCCCAGGAGGGCCCCTGGGAGCCGTCGGACCGCGCGGTGGGGAGGGTCAGGTAGAGGTGGGAGCCGCCCACAGGGTACGTCTCCGGCGGGTGACAGCCGCCGCGGGTCGCTTTCCCGACGACCAGCGCCCGGCCAAGCCTCTTCATGATGTGGACGAACTCCTCCGCTGCGCCGGCCGTCGCGCCGCTCGTCAGGATGACCACGCTCTTCTTGGAGCCGTATCGCTCGCCTTCGGTTAGAGGAAGAGGGAAACAACATCACTCACGCGGCGGCAGTCGGTTTAATTTAGTTATAACTGATTCCTTACAATTATATGGCACTTTTCTGGACACACTCCACTCAAAGCTCTTCACAGGTAATGGGGTCTCTCCACCACCACCAGTGTGCAGCCCCACCTGGATGATGCTCCAGTCTGCTCACACACACCAGCTCTCAGTGGGGAGGAGAGCAGAGTGATGAAGCCACTTCAGAGAGGGGGGTTATTAGGAGGCCATGACTGGTAAGGGCTAATGGGAAATTTGGCCAGAATGCTGGGGTAACACCCCTACTCTTTTCGAGAAATGCCCTGGGATTGTTAATGATCACAGAGAGTCAGGATCAGTTTTACTTCTCATCTGAAGGACGGCGCCTTTTTACAGTATTCCTGTCACTATACTGGGGCATTAGGACCCACAGAGACGGCAGGGTAAGCGTCCCCTACTGGCCCCACTAACACCTCTTCCAGTTTCCCGTTTAGTGCAGAGATTTCTAATTAGAGGACATGACTGTCAGATCACTGACACAATGTTGTCATTATGGTTTGCTCAATCCAGACCACAGTGTTTAAGCTTGGATATTCCTGATTGCAGATTCCACAATTAAGACAGCTGTGTAAAGTATTAACATACTATTTAAAAATTTAAAAAGAACATACTTATGTATGAGAGAATTTGAACATCAAGTGAAAAACCAACAAAAGAGGGAATAGTATTTTTCCATTGCTAAACTCTGTGGCTGTTATGAATCTCGCTTCATTCCCAATTTTCATTGTGCCTAAACATCTGATCCATACTGAACTCACGGATCATCCACTGTATTTGGATAGGAAAGGCCTTCAACTTTTGGAAGCTCCTGTAATGTCTTCAGTGAACAAACCGCTGTTCACTTTGCTTTTTGCCATGACAAATCAACTACTTTGCATACGAAACAATAGAAAATCTTGAATCTGAGACTTTTCTTTTCTGAGGAATTAATATTTGAATCTCGTTACTGACTTCCTCTCATCATTTCTGCTTAAATGGGTAGCAGCTAAGGGTTGTTTTTCCAATCAGGAGAGAAATGAGTACAAGGGGGATTGTTACCAGTCAGCTGGGACAAGGTCCACATATCGCTTGTCAAGTTAGAAGGCCTGTCGTAGATTTTATCCAAAAGAATTGCTTGGTCTTCATCAAAGAAATAGGAACACAATCCTGCGATTGATGAGGTAGGTCCACCAGTATTATATCTGCAATGAAATTTGCAAAGTGACAGGCAGTAGGGGAGAAACCATATTGTGGCAACAGACTAGTATGTTAAGCAGTTGTGATACCTCTCCTACAAAAGGTATCCCTTTCCATATTATGCTCTCTGTACAGCATTTTCATGACTGCTTGCTTGGTTTCACTTTGCAATAAAATGGCTTTCAATGTTTTCAATATGACTGAAGGAATTTTTTACTCACTATGCTCTAAATTAATTTACTGCTAAATCTTTTGGTACCAAAACAGAAACAGCTGCTGATGATTAACGCTGATCTATACCAACATTATAAACTATGCTTAATGCTCCTCATTTTATTTATGATTTAATATTAGTGTTTGTACTGTATGTTAAGCAGTCAATATACTGAGTGAATATAATGGCATGTAACTCAAAGTATCATACCTGGTCTATATGGTTTTCTAGCAATACATGTGTATGAAAAATATAGGAGGATGAGAAAAGAACCTACCTAAGATCAATAATCAAAGCATTAGTGTGCGATATTTTTTTCCATACGTGTTCTACAAGTAATACAGACACATGAGGCATGTGCTCAAAATCTCCAAACATGTCGAACCGAAGGTACCCGATGTTATTATCAAACACATCAGTGTGGAAAGAAGACTTGATCAAGTCCTCAAACATCTCAGGAGACAGAACCTAAAGAAGAAAGAGAAGACTGTGTTTTGTTACACAATATATAACGGGTTTACCTTGTCCACTGTGCAGTAAAAACAACAGTCAAGTCCAAACCAAACAAGATAAATATCAGTGAATTAATTATTCATATAGCAAAATGTCCAAGACATGAAGGTAATTATACAATTCTGTATGACAACAAAATAATACCAGGTCCTACCTGCACAGGTGACAATCCAGGGACAGTGCCTTTGGAGTGGTCTGGTATGTAAGAGGCCTTTATGTTTTTGTCCCCAGTTAATTCTTGGAGGTCAGTTGTGAGTTTGTCCGCCAGTTCAGCCTCGGAATCAATAACGTTGTAATTTCTGCTGTGAACCAGGAGAGCCAGCTTTTCTGCAGCGCTTTCACCAGTGTGTGCAAAGGCATAATTGTCAGCAACCAGCTTCCCTGCAGCCTGGACTATTGAGGGGATTCTTGCTCTGAGATCGATGATACGAAGAGCGACACTCATTGCATCATTAGCCTGAACTGCAACATGAGGTTCGACACCAGAGACACTCCATACTTTCCCAGTCACTGCACTCAGGACAACCTGGTTGGGAATCGTGGCATATAAATGGCTTTCCCCAATTCGGTAGGTACCTATTGACAAAGAGCCTCCTACAGTTGGCTCTCCAATAACTGTGGCCCTGCCCAGGTCTTTCAGTGCCCTGGTAAAAGCTTCTGCAGCAGAGCCCGACTTATGACTTGTGAGAATGAAAATGCTTTTTTCCAACCCGTATCTTTGGCCCAACAGTGAAGGCTGGGTCATTATCTCAGTCATTGTAGCGCTGGTCCGGTCAAAGACAGTATAAAGATGACGGACAGGTTCTGCATCGAAAAAGTAAGAACATAGTATTGGGATGGCCGTCGAATAACCCCCAGTGTTGTATCTCATATCAAGGATTAAAACATCTGTGTCAACAATTTTGTTCCAGACTTGATCCAGTAGTTGAGGCCCAATAGCCCTGATTATTTCAGCATCCGCCATCAAGTCAAACCTTAGGTAACCTACATTCCCTGGCAGGACTTCAACCTTGAACAGAGCGTCTACAATATAACCAATTTCCTCAGCGGTTGGGACTTTGGAAACTTGGTCTTTCAATAGTTCAGGTTCAACCTCACTGTAGAAGACATGCAAACGATGGTCACCTGATGTCTCCTGCAGATCTGAGGTCAGCTGAGAGTCCAGGGATTCATAGTCCACCACAGATCGATAGGAGCCGTTTGACCATTTGGATTCCAGGACCCTTTTGACTTTTGTGGCAACCTCGGGAATAGCATAATGAGCTTCTAAGAGTTTCCCGGTCTCTTCAATCAGAGCATGAACCTCTGGATGAAAACTAATGATTTCTTGTGCGGTCTCCAAAGCCTCATCAGCTAAAACGATTGAATCTGGTACAACACCTCCCCCTAGCCAGCATTCTCCACTGTTATCAAAGAAGTTTATGACTGGGATCGTAATCACTATCTTTGTGTCTTCGACCTGGAATGACCGAGAATGCAGCAGTGTCCCCGATGTGATTTCTCCGATGACAGTGGCCCTGTTCATTGACTGCATCAGGTACGCAAACTCCTCTGCGGCTGTTGCTGTGTGCTGGCTTGTGAGCACATAAACCCCTCGTTTCGACCCGTAAGGTTGTCCGCGGATGTTGGGAAGCGTGTGGAATTCATTAGTGGAGTTAGTAATCCTGTTGTAAATTGTGAAAAAGTGAACCGGCGGGGTGGGATCTTGAAAATAAGTCAAAAGAATGGGCACAGCAGCTGACGGTCCCCCAGTGTTATATCGTATATCTATAATGAGGCTTGTTGTGTCTTTGATGGGATCCCAGACTTTTTGGACAATCTGCTCTCCTAATTTCACCAACATAGAAGCTTCACCAAATTCATCAAACCTGAGGTATCCAATATTTCCAGGCAAAATGCTCACTTTGAAAACGGTATCCACTATAGCCTGAAGCATTTCTGGGATGTCTGGTAGCTTGTCTGCTGCAGGAGCATCCTCTATGGTGACTGGAGGCTCTGCCATTACCTTGATCATGATACGGGGGTCCTCAGACACAGACTGTACCTCATGGTTCAGTTTAGAAGTCAAGTCTTCCTCCGATATCACAGAGGAAAAATCAATTAATGAAATGTGGTGAAGGATGGAGGGAACTCTGTCCACAAATGAATAGTACCTCTTAATTGTGTCCGAGACCGAATGGACAACTTTAGGAGTAGCACTTCTCACTGCCAGGATGGATATTGCTTTCTTGAGAGCATCCTCTGCATTCACAGTTACACACGGGAATACTCCATTTACCTCCCATGTTTGACCGGTAATGGGGTTAATGGATCTTGCAACAGGCACAGTGATATAAAATTCTGACTTTCCTATCTGAAGCTTCTCGATTTTTAGCGATCCCCCGGCGGACCTCTCACCTACGGTGATAGCTCTGTTCAAATGCTTTAAAGTGTAGGCGACATCCTCAGCAACTCCGATAGTGTGCTTGCTTATTAGAATAATTAAATCTTTATCTTTTCTATACCTCTGTCCCAGAACGGACGGCAGCGTCCAAAATTCTTTCGTAGTGTTGGAAGGCCGATCATAAACTGTGTCGATGTGAATAAGAGGCTCAGCTTCAGAAAAATAGGACACGATGTATGGGATGCCAGAGACTTGCCCTGTCGTACTGTAACGAAGGTCCAGTATTAGAGAAGAAGTGTGCATGACATTGTTCCAAACGCTGTCAACGAGAAGCTGGCCAACGGTCTCGATGATGTTCTCTCCAATAACGTGGTCAATCCTCAAGTAGCCGATATTGTTCTCCAGGACTTCGTACTTGACAGAATGCTTGATGATACTGACCAGCTGATCTGGAGGAAGCGGTGGGATGGCGTCTGGTTTCGAGGGGGACGTGTTGGGCTCATAGGAAACAATGAGCCGCGGGTCGTTGAGTGCCCCTTGCACACCAGCAGTCAACACGGCTGCCAGCTTTGTAGGATCTGATACGAGGAGAATCTCGCCGCTGCTCATTGCTCGCTCTATCGACTCTTGCATTTCAGCCATGTTCACGGGAAAGCAGTAGTTGTCCAGGAGAACTTTAGCCATGTCCCGGACCAGACCGGGCTGAAACGACGAAGGGGCTGCAGAGGCATGGTGGCTGACTACCAGGGCTGCCAACAGAAGGACGAGTCTGGCCATTTTCGGGGCAGCCTGCTGCTCTTCGGACCAGCTTCTTGCTTCAGCCCTCGTCAGCTGTGTTTCATTTCCCCGGAGGTGTCTGAGACTGTGTCACCACAGCAAGCTTTCTGACACAGCCAGCATAAGAAGCTTTGGGTTTCAATAACCCTTTAATCGCATTATGTGGAGTGCAGCAAAGACAAAATAACAAACTAATAATGCATTCAACAAATACTGAAAAATGAACTGAGATAAGACTCACATAAATTTAACTTCAGTTATTAAACCTCTTTTATGCTGCTGCAGGAGCTGTAATAACATGCACAATGTCTTACATCACGAGAATGAAATGCCCCAGTTTACCAGCAGTGCTCAGAGAGATTTGGGAGGTCAGTTCAGGGTCCCGTGTTGCTCTGAGGTCATTGAGAAGTTAGTATGGTTTGTGCTGACCTGATCATTGTCCTTTTTAATGAGCAATTAGGTGAAAGCCACTTTATTTTTAATAGAATGTACATTACAAACAATAATGCCAATAGTGCTTTAATGAAAGAGAGAACTAGCCTTGTATGAAGAATCTGAATACGGCATCAGTGGTGAATTCATGCTGTGAGTCAAGCTGCTATCCGGCAGGAAAGATTCAAATTAGAGCCGTCCTTAATGTTGAGAAATCTAGACGTATACAATATACTGTAGCTGTGAAACTCTTAAAAGATAAACACTTTAAGATTGTATTATGCAACCACGTCTTCTCTGTACTAATCTGGACAATATACTATTAGCCATTCTTAACTTTTAATACCATCTTACATAAGCCTATGTCTGGCCATTGCCTGCAGCCAATCAGAACCAAGTCTCCCATTCTAAGAATGGAACACCATTGTTCAGTGTGTCAATCATGGAAATGGTTGGCATTAAAATTTCAAAGAGGATCAGCTCTTGGAATTACCAATTTAGTTATCTAAGCTGTAAGCTGTTTGCCTACAAACCGTTCAGCACTTCTTTTATAACAAGGATGTATAAGGGTTGACTGTGGGGCACCTTTGTTTCACAAAGTAAATAACGAGGTAAGGATTTTTGTTATCTTTGTTCATCATTTTCTGGCAAATATTTGTAATGCTCTTTGGATTCCCCATGATATTCTGCTCTTTGTAATGAGCTGCATCCTTGCAATACTTGACAATGATCATAAAACAATTAGGCTTGTCTGTCAATGTGAGCTGGGAGGAACACTTGGAATTAGGAAACTCTCCTTGTTGCTGTTTCTGTTCTAGATATGAAACCATGTAAAAACAAGCGTAAACGTGTATAATTCATACTCTCCAGGTCCCCTTTTCACATAACAGCTGGTTAATAAAGAAACAATAATTGAATGAAAAAAGGCAAAGTATTTTTCATCTTGAAATGAGGTGCTGTGTTAATATGTAACTAATAAGGCTGAAATGACAAAATTGTAATTAGAATTTAAAACTTATAATATGAAATATAAAAATCCTATGTATATTTCAAAAAGGCCTTCAGAAGGATTCATTTGGCCAGCAAGTTCAGGAAAGATAAAGGCAAACCTTTCAGCAGACCTCCGGAGGGCGATCAAGACTCACTGTTTCTCTCAGTGTCCGAAACAGCAGTATCCTTCCTTCTTGTGGGGAACTTTATATACTGAAATCCTCTGTTCCACAATAATCCAGGGACAGCAGTCCCATCCTTTCAAAGGTACAACACATGGAGGCATTCTGTCCTTGGTCTTAAGAAAAATAAAACATTTTAAAATCAGAAACGGTAGTTAGATTATGAGATTATAGATTATAGATGATCTCTTCTGTTGATACTATTAAAACTATACTTTCTGTAGCGTGTTACATTATTTTAAATTTCTTTTTAAAATGTTGTAGATGTTTTGGTCCATATCTGTTGCGGTTCATGCATCTTTGTGTAAATAAAAGGTGTTCTGAGTTCTTGTTCTGAGCCTTTGAGGTTTTGACTGCTTGTATTAGTTCCCATTATAGTCTTCTCTGTTCAGAACTAGTAAGGGTTCTTCAGCCTGTCATTGTAGGACATTTCCTTGTGACATGCTGTATGTTAGTGACGGCACTGTCACGGACGTCCAAAGGGACTAACCGTGGGGAGCAGGAGAGCAGAAAAAGACCCATATGCGTAGCGGCGAGACGGGAAAAAGGCCCGGGCTCATAGTGCAAAGAGTTCAGGAATGACGTATAGAAACCTATGCCCTCAGGGAGCGGACGTGGGGCGCCCTGGTGCTAGGCGGGTCTCAGGACATCCGAACATCAATGCTGAGCGAGGACAGAGTGCAAGACCCGGAAATATATAGCCCAAGGAAGAGAGGGACAGGAAGGACAGCAGACCGGAAACTAGGGACAGGACAGAGAAGGAGCGCCCTCTGGCTGCAGAGGGCGTGACAGGCACTTGATTGTTCCCAAGTTTACTGCAAGAAAAAGCCTTCTGCAGAACTGACTGGATTGAAAATGAACACATTTCCATGGAATATATTAGGATTTACTTGCTGACTTTCCTGGAAGAAATCTTTTCCAGTGCAATCAGATTAAATGAGGCTCTATAAGGTTTCTAATATATTTAAAGAAAGTCTGTATTTGCGTTCATTGGACGTGTCCTTCTAAAATGTTGTAATGGTAAGTAATTTCTCATTAATTGTCAATGTAGTGAGAAATAACCTTATCACACTACTTTGCGTGAGTCTATACTCAGTGATAATCAGCTTGTTTTAGAAGGGAAGCTGGAAAGAATCTGTTTATCTTTTGTTTCCGATAAGTGCTCATTGCTTAAATAAAATCGCCTCCCAGTAGTTGCAAAGAGCTTATCTTTCAAGAGTAACATGGAAAAGGCAGAAAGTAGTTGGCTGTTTAGGAATAACAGATGACATGTCATCTGTTACCAGTCACTTGTACCACTTATCAAACAGCACATACTTAGTGATACAAATCTACTTGCCAATAACATTTCATAATCCACCAAGGCTTCAAGGCTTATGTGGAATGCTTAAAGTCATTTCTGCTGCGCACAGAAGATTTGCTATTTGATGCCTGTTAATATAAAAAATATTTTTAATATAGAATTGTAATTAGACTGAAAAGCACAACTTAGAGTGTACTGTGTAATCAGGACTGGGATATGAGAGATCATGGATTCAGCATTTAAACTACCGAGCAAAAGAGAATGAAATGAACGAGAACAGGTCGGGGTTACTTTAGTTTATACAGTGGACTTTATAGAAAACAAGTTTAGGCCACATTTTCCACGATCAGCTGAGGAACATAATAGAAAAAAGGCTTCTGTTTTTCCATTTGAACATTTTTACAGGACCACAAGGGTCTAACTACTACAGCTGCCATACTTTACACAATTCCTCCTCGTTAAAAAACTTGGGTATACCACACAAACATGCGACGCCAGACACTGAATTGACTCCTTCAGGTACACTGTGAGCTCGTGAGAGGTGGCTTTAAGAACGTTGGGGTCACCTGTTCATTGGCAAAACCTGCATTATAAGGCTCTCCTGACTGAGTAATTAACATTCGGAGGAAGTGGCTAGTTCCACACAGAGTTTATCCTTTCCCTCGTGTGGAGTGTAAATCGCCCCGACAGGTGAGCCTCATTCCACAGGTTTTTCCAACAGGTGAAAGACTTTCTTGATGCTACATCTCTCTACCTCACATACATGTTCTCACCCAGTAAGGATGAGAACGCAGTGTCACAAGAGGCCTGTCATATACTGACAAACATTCTGCATATTTCTGAATAATAATCATATTAACAGATGCCTTTATATTCTCTTTAACATGCACATAGGTCAGCTCTTCAAAACACTTTACAAAATTAACCCATAGTCTTTGAAAATGTATTAAATTGGAATATTTACACTTTTTCAGTAATGGGATATCCTTAAAAGATTCTAGAATATGCATAGGCTATACATGCATTACGTTAAATAATTGAAAAAGCGGTTGATGACATCAATGTACAAATTTACATGTTAATGCAATGTCAGTAGCTGTGTCTGCTGTCACTACCTACACCCACACTCAGCGACTTTCATTCCTTCATAGAAGTGTTTTACTGTAAATATGCCACTTTCATAATACATGAGTGTAATCGGATCCAATTTAGTTGGAACACAGCAAGCCTTTTCAGCTTTGTTGGGGTTATTAAGGTTCACAAGAGTCTGAATGATGGCGTGTTTGGAGGGCGTGACGTCATCAGTGAGAGGATAAGAGCACAATCCTTTGCACTCAAAGGCGTCATATACCTTTGGTGCTACGATCCAGGAATCCCAGCCGATTTCTTTAAAATCCACACGGAGCGAAGTCCTCCTGCAGTAGTTATCTTTTGCATGTCGTTTTCTCCGTGGCTGGTCCCTGACGGAGCTCGTGCTTTTGTTATTCTGCTCTGAGAGGACGAAACTTTCTTCTTCGTGGGCGATCATGTCCTTCAGTTCGTCCGTGTCTTTCGTCTTGTCGCTCGTTCGGTCGTCTGAGAAGACGATCAGCACTGCCGAGCTGTTGTTCTTAACACTGATGCTGATATCGATACCCCCCCCTTCAAAGGCCCCCGTGTCCCTGCGCTCGACGCGTACTCCCAGTGTGTTTGTGGTCTGCCCTGACTTCACCCAGCGCTTGATGGCGTCCGTGACTTCAAAAACCTCCCAGGTGGGGTCTTTCCCCTCGGTGCTTTTAGCGCTGAGGAAATGCAGTACTGGCTGGTCTTCGTGGTACTCCACGTCGTAGACCTTAATGGTCGCCTGCATGAAGTTGTGGTTCATAGCGCTGTGATCCAGGGAGGTGAACAGCCGCAGCTCGGCCATGGTGATCTCCTCGTGGCTTGGAATGGACAGGTTGAATCGCAGCAGGTGCTGAGTCTCACTGCTGTTTCTCTTCGAATGGGAGACATCTGAAAAGAAGAGGAGGGCTGTGTAACTGCGCTGGGTGTGAGAGGGCCATGGGGGTTCATTGTGTTCATCAAGCCACACTCGATTCTTTAAAGTCCACCTTGAATGCTTTTGTATTCATTATTATGTAATGTACTGTAGATCCTGCTCTAAAGTTGAAAATTATTTCAATAAAACGATGTGATAATGCACCAGGAATACTTCAATAAAATATAAAAGACCATACATTTGCTAAAAATCAGTATAAAACATTAAAGCACCAAACGTTGTACGACCAAAAATTAATCTTGTTTCAAAGTAAAACTTCCAAAAATTCCTTTTTGATTGGTTTAACACCATAACATTCTTTCACATATTAAAAAAAAACCCAGATCAATTGCGAATATTCGCAGTCAGGTTCAGATTTATTTTAATGTGAGCTCTTCCCTAAAGCAATGACGTGGGAAAAAAGACAGCAGCCTGTAACGTGGTGACAATGTAATTGCCAACACTTCCATAATTACAACTACCTCGCTAAAATGTGCATTATCCTTTGCAGATGAGGTCATGAGCTCACCTTGTATATTGAAGCTCCGGATGACGTCCGATCGAGGTGTGGAAGATTTATCCATGGCGTACCTGTTGTACAGCTCCATCATGAAGTGAGGAGGATCTGTCCTGCTGTGTTCGTGCGGGACTCCTGATAAATTCAAGAGGCGTAGGAATTCGTCCTTCACGTTTTCTAACAAGCCGCCCAGGTTTAAGTCCTCGCTGGGGTCCTCGCTGGAGTCTTGCTTCGAAATTTGGAACTGCATTTCTGTTTCCCTCATTTTAATGACGCCGTTCAGTGGTTTGCACCTACACGGCCCAGTGAGCACCATCAAGCTGATCCAGAGTGGGAACAAGCAGTTCATTGTCGCCTCCAACTCCAAATTAGGGTTAATTATTAACTCTGTTTCGCTGTGATTAAAGTGAGAAGCGGCACACTGTGGAGCGACAATCTTCGCAGCCGAGATTCTGAACTTCAGTTGAAGTTTCCCTGTCCCAGTCCACAGTAAACAGCAGACTCTTGTCAACCAGAATAGTTGTACAGCTATTCTTATCTTAGCCATTGATGTCTTTGGCTTTGTTATCTTTCTGTGAGGCTTGTGGTTAATGAAGATTCTGTAAACATTTGACAGACACTTGTGGCTAATGAGGAGGTCACTGTATACCAATACAAAGTTGTACTGAAGTACAAGGTCACTAATGAACAATTTTCCTTTGTGATTTTCCCAACTTCAGGAAAATAGTACTTAATGTACTCTGTTAAGTCCCATGTTCTCACATGATTTGTTGGATTATTGATTTTGGTGCTTTTTACAATGTTGAATAGATATTATTCTTATCACATTACCATTGGACTGTGACATTTTGATACATTCGATGTGTTACAGTATAATATGATTTGACATTTGACATGCCTGTAGTTTGCTTTTTGTAACAGTTTTCAAGAGATTATGTAAAACACATCTGGATTTGCATTCCTGTTTATTTATTTTTTAAAATTTTACACTACAGTCCTGATTGTAATGTTTTTAGAAAAATGCTTTATAACATACAGTACAAATACATACTTTTGGTAATATTACTTGCATTTGATTGGTGTCTGTCCAAAATACTGTACTAGCAGACTGAATTTAAAGTGGGAATTAACAATGACAGTATTATTTGAATTACCTTTGCACTTACATTCTTACATTTACATCTACACTTGCTTGGATTATATATAATACCAGGTTTTCCGAACAAACAGTATTTTAGCCTGCAGTGGAGGAAGAAAATCTCAATCACACTTTTCAAGATCAATCATTTTGTTCTACAGTACCTTTCAATTTCTGCTGTGTACTGCAGTCAAGAATGTCTTTGTCCAGCTCCAACTCAGGTCATTTGCAGACAGTCTAAACTAAAACACTTGGACGGCTGGAATGTTCCCTCTGACCTTAAGGGTCTTATCAAAATTGTCCCCAGTTCTTATTCACTCCTTTTCTGTCAGCCTTACTTTGCCTTCCTGTGCCAGGATTTGGCACAGTGAGGGTTTAATAGGAGGTGAGTGTGACGTTAAAGGACCTCTCCACATAGGAAGCAAGGGCAGGTACTGGAACACTGAGCTCATTGTCAAGAGCTTTTCAGTATTGTGGTTTGTCCAGGAAAAGACTGTACCTGTCAAAGGTCCTATTGGTCTGAAAACAGAAGCTTAACCTTTAAAATGTTGTCTTAAGAAATAAACCGGAGTGCAAGCAGCGGTGAAAGAGAGAAAGTTGGAGTACAACTGTATAGTATATCTTTTTAAAATGTCCTTAAAGCTAGAATTTGCCTAAACACGAAGCAAGCTAACAGACAAGCTCTGGCATACATAATGATTGATTTAGTCTGATTGGAATGTACATTCAGGCACAAAAACCCCATACATGCTTATCAGGACGAAGCACATTCTTTTGAAGAAAGATTAATGACATTGACTTGTCTGGAAGGATCAGCAGTGAGTAACTGGTCTTCCTCGCCACCAAGAGCCTCCTACAATAGGAATAAAAACCGAGAAGAGTCGACTCGTTTAACTGGAATTCACATGGAATAATGACCACTATTCTGAATATGTATAAGGAATGTTTATCAGAAAAGGCATTCATAAAGAATTTTGGCTTAGCCTGCTCAGCCGAGAGCCAACCACCAGACCACAGGACAAGGATGTCAGGACCCTGTGGTTTTTATAGCATTCTGGGATGTGGCATCATGGAGTCAGAGCAACAGGAATGCTGGGTAATTTGGTTGTCATTTCTTCTCCTGAACTTTCATTACCTACCCCATTCTTCTGAACACCATGGACTATTATATAAGTAAAAAAAGAGATACACAATATTTGTCTTATTTATGTTTTATTACGGTACTTGTGTTGACTACTGGCTTCATAATTTAAAACAGATACGCATAATGTTCTCCAAAACAAATGACGGATAAAAAAGTGATATTACCTACCAAAGAAGAAAAAACGTACTGTTCATAAAAAAATATGTTGTGTGATAAATCAAGAAAAATATCAGTGGAAACTGAAAAAATTAAAGTTTAGTAAATGAGCTAAAATGTATTCTTTTAAAAAAACGTCAGTTCCGACCAGCATATTTATAACTATTCGATAAGATGGACACTTTTAGTAGCACAAAAACAAATTACTATTTACAAACATAATCCAAACAGATTCAGGGATATGTTACAGTGCAGATTAAAAGCAGTTGCAGTGAAAAAAACATAAGGGCATTTTTCCTACTCAGTTCTAGAAGAAAGCTAAATCATAAAACTGATTAATTTATTGATTCCAGCCACCAAAAGATTATTCTCCTGATAATCTTCAGAATGAATCAAGGATTTTCAGTATCTGGTGATACCTTAAGGCTATATAACAATTCTGATAAGGCTATATTTCCAGTTAGAATCCTATTCTGTTATGTAAAATAGATGTGTATGTGTGAACGCATGCACACACACACACACGCTCTACATTTATGATGCACACACATACACCTATAGAAGAAGGAGAAAGGAATAACAACAATATGCACGCACAGAAAGAGACAGGACACTTTTGTTTCATAAATAGTTGTGGAATGTGAACCAATTACATTTCAACAGTATTTTACACAGAGTGTAATCTAAAGTTATCCAGTCCTTGAAGGAAACCTTCACTGTCCAACACATGAGGGATCCGAAGAGCTGCCAGTGTCGCCCTTCTTGAAGGATTCTGCACGAAGAAAAGGCCATGTCTTGGTCTCTCGGTTAATCAGTCAACCTTCAGCTTTCCCAGATGTCTCTATCGGCAGGCACAGGTCTCCACCGACATGTTGGGGTAAATCTTTAACACCACGTTTTTGTTCTCGTCCAAGAAAAGGACACTGAGCGAGTTCATTTTGTCAGGCACACAGCAGGGCTCTGGGATTCCTGCAATAATTCCCACTGCTTTCACAATGCTTTGAATGGTTGCGTGATTGGAGGGGCGAACGACCTGAAAGAAAGAGAATCACTGAAGTTATGAAGCACATATCCTGCATCTTAACCGTCGCACATATTCACTGGCCTGTGCTCCACTGCTTTCATTTAGTTAACTCTTCATTCCTGAAATAAAGACAGATGACCAGGGGGGCTCACCCCAGAGACAAACCCGCCAGGATTACCGGACATTAAACCAGTATGAGCCAGAATGTTTTTGAAGAAATGGAAGAAATTAACCGCAAAAAAAAATTGTTTTGGATAACAGCCTCCAGAATTATAACTGTCACTTCAATATTTTTTTGTCTTGAAGAGTACATTTAGTAGACGTAGTCATTCAGATTATGCTGAAAAAATCATCTCTCCTATGCTTTCAAATAAATCCACTAGTGTTTTACTGCATGCGAGCGACATTTATTACTAAATGTCAATAAGATGCGTTTCAGAAATTAGCGATCACTGGGAAAAGAAAAAAAAATACCTTTCTGAACTAATTTAGTCTAAAATAAGTAAAATAAACTTTACAATAAAACATGAACAAAACAGAATAAGGTAGGGAATAATTCTTTGAAAATAGTCATCTGTGATAGGGTACCTTGAACAGTGTTATTTGAGTGTGACATTTACCATTAAAAGATTGATTATATATCAACTTTGGATGTGTGTGTGACTTTACACAGATGTTTTTTAGTAGCAGAAGGCATCCTGACCTTAGGCATTGGGAATTCGCAGGCTCCTGCACAGTAGTAGGCATCAAATGATTTGGGGGACAAGATCCACTCACTCCAGCCGATGTCCGCAAAGTCCACCTTCAGGTACCTCCTGGAGCAGATCCGAGGCTCGTTCCCCTGTCTCCGCCGCGCTTTCTTCATGGTTTTCTCATCAAAGCTGAGCACCTGGGACTTGGCCGACCCCTCGCTGTTCTCCTGTGCTTTTCTCCGACGGTCCTTCTTCGGCGGTTTGGGCTTCAGGGCCAGGTAGGCGCTCTCCCACAGCCCGTGCTTCTGGAAGGTGTGGTACTCTACCTCGGGGAGCTCGTTGTTTCGGATGGGGTCCGGGAAGTCCGCCTCCCTCTTGACTCGGGCGTCAGGAGAAGCGTTGGGGGACCGCGTGGCCTCTTCGGCGGCAGAGGACGGGTCGTACCTCTGCAGGCTCATGGCCACGCTGTTGGGCTCAGATATCGCCAAGTCGTTGGCGTACACCAGCATGTACGGGAGGTCGGAAGGCGAAACGCGGTCCTGGGACTTCTGGGATTTCTGCCCGAAATCAAACTCGGCGGTTATGACGAGCTCGCCCGTTTCCGTGGCGTCCTTGATCAGCGGCGTGATATCCTTCAGCTGCCAGGCTCCCCGCCTGCTCGGATAGAAAGCGAAGCTCCCCAGCGGCGCCCCCGGGGCTCCGTCCGAAGGGGCGCTTCTGAAGACGATGTTCACGGGAGGAAGCGGGTGGAGCTGCTGGAGGCGGCAGGAGGAGGTCTTGACACGCTTGCAGGCCCAGGACCTCTGCCGTGGGCGCTTGTCGAAGGAGAAGTGAAACGTTGTCGCGAGTACGACTTCCGATTCCTGAAGAGAGGAGAGATTGAAGTGGTACAGAACCCTCTGCTCTGTCAGTGCTGATAAATAAATACAGAAAGGAAAGAGGGATTCACAGATAAATCATGCAAATATATTCTTACCCAACGTCTTTGATTCACACAACAGAGTTATTGTTCCTTATAAAGTATTTCTGAGGATGATGGAGGACAGATACTCTTTACATCCAATCCCATCTGAACCATATGGAAACACTTATTTAAATAGCCCCTGGGGATTTTAGTGAGTTACTAATAACTTAAATGTCTGACTGCATTAATTGCTTCTACAGTATAAGGGCACAAGTGATTATATGTACTGTAGTTTTTAGACTGTTGTGTAAATACAGTACTGGTAAATAACATTTATTATTGCATGTGTTAGATACCTGTAAGAGCGCTTTTATATATATTGCAAATGTTGATTCTAGTTTTTCTACTACCCTATTTCTGAAATCCGTGCGCAGTCTCAGGATAGAAATCTGTGCTTGAGATGGAGGTTGAGATGAGATGCGACACAATTCAGGAGTGATAGCTGGTCAGTCACGAGCGTCAGAGGACCGTCACCGTTGTTACTGTCACTATGGCCCTTCAGCCTGTCACAACTGCAATGTGACCCTGTACTGAACTGCTACCGTACTGCCTATGGTATGGTTCAAAACTACACTTCAGCAGAGCATGCTTATGTGCACAAGCCAATCACATAGCTTATTTTAGTAGAATCAAATTACTTATGAAGGATTGCAAGCAAGCAAGAAATGTGGTACTGTTTGAATAAGCGGTATCTGCAGACAGGGGGAGAAGGAGAAAGATGTCGGAGTTCAAAATATCCTAACGACAGCCTCAAATATTACATTGCAATGTCAAATACTCCCTCCAGATGGCGCAGGGCAAATTAAATCAGATTTGACTAGATACCTTTAGGTTGTAGCTCATGTACTGATTACCCCTTGGGTAATATATCGATGCTCTTCTTGTGATAATGTAGATTCGCCGTGTTTTCTTTGAGTTGCCTTAACAGCACCGCAGTCATATCGGTCTGTCTGTCTGCCAGTACACATTAAGAACATTTAACATTTTCCTTTATTTAAATGATCTATTTAAATGACGATCTTTGCACAATCAACAGCAAATACAAAAACACCCTTTAACTTTGCAAACATAAAAGTGCTTTCACTGATTTCGACCAATTTATAATAAAAAGAAACGTAAAAGTCGGTTGTATTATCTAAGCGGTGTGTGTTTGTGGGTGTTTCGCGTTCTTTTTGATACAGTTTATAGCCGCCTGCAACTGCTCTGCCGGATACACTGACATTAAAGGTCTGAAGTGGTCGTAAGAAACAGCTTACCTGGGCTCGCTTTGAAGCTCCGCACCGTATTCCCGTCCCGAGGACGGGTGACTTCTCTGTTGTACTTTTCGTACAGTCTGAACATGTGAAGAGCGACCATATCCTGAGCGGAGCTGTCCAGCGCTGCCGTGTCAGACGGGCGCTCTGCCGGAGCGGCGAAGACGCTGCTGTCCTGGACGGAGCCCGGCGTGACTCCAGCATCCGCGACTCCCAGGTTCGAGTATCCCAGCAAGAGAACCACACGCGAGAGCAAAGCGACGTTTAGTGCCATAGCGCTGCTGTAGCTGTATCGCGATTGCTTTTTATTCCGCTTTGCTTCTTCGTCAAGTGTGTTTTGTGAAAACGAAACAAACAGCTGTGCAGATGAGTATGTTTATGACTGATGAAGAGTTGTGGGAACAAGTCACTTTGTAAAGGTGAGGCCGTCTCTTCTTGTTCACGCCTCCCTCTGCGATATGCTCGATCTGAAGAGTCAAGTCAAAGAAAACTCTTTGAGAAATAGAGAACACATCTCCTGCGGACTCGGTATTGCCCGGGCAGTCACAGTTTCTTCTTACCGCCAGAAGCCAAGTGGTAATCTTAGGCAATAAGACACGCTGACGTCTACTGCTACTAACCAACGAGATCCAGCGCTACAGCACACCGTTTCCACAAGCCTCGAGAAAACACGCCATCTGATGCCACAAGTTGTCAACGTGGGAGACTCCGAGTCGGAGTTACTGTACCTATTAAGACTAACCAGCCATGAGCACCATTTTTTTACCGTGGCTCTGTAACCGATAGTAGCGGTTAGAATGAACAACAACAATGAATAATTGCAGCCAACTGTCAATTGCTATAAAAATGTAAGAGCAAGAACAAAGACCACTGTATTGTTACAAGAGAACAAAAAAAACTGCAGGACATCAGATAGAATTTGTCAGAATACGTGCCTTTAGGTTTTCACAAAATACTTTGATTTGCGTCCCGCTTAAAATAGTCATCATAGTATGAGTCTTCTTGCTCCTCATCAAATCTGTGTCGGTTTTTTTTTGACTGAGAAAGCGATGAGCCCTTTGCGTTTTGTAAACGGATGTTCAGGTTGTCTTAGATGACACATAAATCGGAGCTGGGACATTTTAATAAAGGTATTCTTGCGGATACAATAGCTACTGTGAATTATTTACTGTAACTCACTTCCCTTAATCACAGAAATATGTATTGAGCAGAGCTACAAGAGCTCCTTCTTAAAATAAGTGACCCGAAAATCATTTTCAAAACAGGACAGTCATGTTTAACATCGAAAGAAAAACTGAAAGACAAGTTATTGGCAAAAAAAAACCCAAATCGTCGATTTGAGATGACATACTTTGATAATAGACTTTTGTTAGATTCAAAAGAAAGTATACGTTCACTAGCTGATGTTGAAATGTCCGACATGTATTAAGACAATTTCAGACATGTGCCTACAGAGGAACAGAGTAATATAAAGAGCCTCTCAGAGGTGGAGTAGACGCAGCTGTGTGATTTCTGGGTATACTAAGGTCAGGCGGCGAAATTTACATGTACTCATTAGTTAGGTTTCTTTAATTAGGGCAGCACGGTTAATTAAGCTGTAACATTTTAAAGGCGTATTAAACCTTGCAGTCTAGCCCCATATTAGAAGTAAAAAATCATAGTTAAAATGAACATGAATACATTAAGCCATTTAGTACTGTATGTTTTAAGGTCTCGAAGGTGCATGTCTTGTCACGTCGATTCTATTGATCTGTGCCTATCTTTCTCAGTATTTGTACCGATAAGAATTAAACCTCAAGCAACATTACTGACGCACTCATGCCGGGACCAAGAATCCAATATTAACGTGTTTCGTTTATAAGGAAATGTCAAGAAGAAGTGGACACAGAATGCACAAACAGACCGGTAAGTAAACGGCGTGGCGCAGTGCACGTCCTGCGCAGGAAACAACGGAGGAGAAATACAGGTCCTGCTCGGAGTTTTGCAATCGGCCTATTTAAGAATTAGTTCTGGGGCGTATTTATGAGGTCCTTTGATTTCATTCATGGCATTATGTACATGACCTCCACTGGGGAATGTTCTAACCTCCTCTATTTTCTATTTTCGTGTCTGCAGTACTTCAGCACAAAGCTGGTGCTGTGAAAGAGGGCTGCTCCAGCAGGAGGTGAGTAACAAGCTGAGCTGTGCCGGTCACTTCGCCATTAAAACGCCTTCTCTTCCCTCAGCCCACTGGAAACTTCTATTCACTTCACACTTGTATGTGTCTTAAATCTGCACTAAAGCGGAGAGGACCTTGCTACTTTGACATTGTTACTGGCGAATTAAAGAATAAATCAAGGATAGTGAACATTTCTTGCTGTATTTTATTGTAGAACAGCAGGCATGCGAAGCCATTAAGGCATACTACTTTGACTCTTTTGATGAAAAAAGTATGTGGAGAAGGAATTTAAATTAGCCCTGGGTCACATAATTCCTTCATCGTGAATATAACTAATCAGTGGCATCTCTAAGACACCTTCAGAAAGAGCCGTGCAATTCCTCCTCCTGCTGAATATTGCTGGTAGTGTGAACGTTTTGTTACTTAAAGTTCTTGCCAAGAAATGATCTTAATAAAAAAGTGTAAGCCACAGCTGTGAGGATGGTCTCAGTGGGACTCACACTCTCTCCGTTTGTCCCAGATTAGCGAACAGCCAGTCCTCCTTAACTTGCAGATCGCATGAGTACTTACATTTCCACATTGTCTTGGCATCTGTTTGAGTTTTATGTAGAGGACGCAGTACCAAATAAATGCGCCTACCGTCAGGGGAAACACAGAAACAGAAGAATAACAAAAAGAAGGATTTATTTAGGTATTATGATTTATTCGGATCTATATTCCCATTCGCCTGCAAGGATTGGCTTCTGCGTTTTGTACAAATGTACAAAAAGTCAGAGTAAGTGGGTTTTTAGCTACAACTGTCCAGACTTGTGACGTGGGCTGCGTATGTATCTCCCCAGACTGCAGTGAGGGACTCGGAACTGGCAAAGTTAGCCACCGCTGCTGTAGAAATACACTGTTGGGACAACAGTCATCTATTTCTTTGTCTCTTAACCTACAACATGGATTAAACACAATTTGAAGAGGAAGTCCAAAGTCCAAAGTCTAGGAAAAGTGCTAATATAGAGGGCTTCATTATTTTCCAGGAAGTCTTGACTCTGTGAAGAAGTGTCAGGTTCGGTGAACCTCCTCCGCTGTCCTGATGGTTTCCGGCACCACTTACCACCATGGGAATGTCCATTTCGGCTGCTCCTGCATTTTTGCATGGATTGCACCTAATAGATGATCACGTGGTATTCTTAAAACATATATTTAAACAAATCAACTGGCTCTCTTAAATATACAGATATGACGTAATCTGAATGGGTATATTTCTATAGGGACCCCAAACTCATGAGTCCCAGTCGTTCTCATTTGCCGTAACCCTTAATTCAACTATTCTAATGTACATAAATATAAATGTTCAGGTGGGTATCTGCGTCAGCATGCGTAGGCTGCAAAGGAACAAGTAATATGTTTATTCCATGCTGAAAAAAAGAAGAAAGAAAACACACCATTTTGGCCGTGATACCTGAAGAAGGCTCCACGGCCGAAACGTTGTGTTTTCTTTCTTCTTTTTTTCAGCATGGAATAAACCTTTTACTTGTTCCTTCATAAATATAATTGATCTGTTTTACGGGAACTGTCATCAGAAAGATTAAATGAACGAAAAATGAGTTGGAAATATAATGTCTAAAGTATTGTACCTCACAAAATCCGAGTTGTGTCCACTTCAGTGTTTAACGTCTGAACACCTTAAGGTCTTTGATTTAAACGTCCTGTCAAAGAGAGACCTAAAGAGTTTTAGATTTAATGGCAATGGTTGAATGAAACCTACAGTAGAAGCAGAGCAATGGGAATGACTTTTCTGTATAGGAAGGGAAATCATAAGGGTTTGAAGCCACTGCAGTAAAGCCTCACAAGCCCGGAGAGAAACAATGGTGTAATGTTCAGAGTGTACAAGCAGGTGACTGGTGGATTCAATACAGG